TTGCAGAAGAAACCTGAGTCGATTCATTTCTTCAGCAGTAAATCCAGGTGGATTCGATGCTTTACCTTCATTAGTCACACTGCCTTCAGAGACATTCTCATTCCCACTTCCTTGAGAAATTGAACCAGCAAACCTTGGAGTGCTGGAGCTTGAGCTAGAACTCGAATTTGATCCATTACCATTGCCTTCTCTCTCCTGTTTCTTCTTCAGCTTCCAACAATCCTCTATAGTGTGATTGTTCATCTTGCAAAATCGACAGAATTTTCTCCCCCTTGCTTCATTGTTCTCCCTGGAACTATTGTCCCTTGAACTGTTCTCTCTTGAGCTGTTGTCTCTTGTATTGTTACCACCAACTGCAAGAGCCAGGTTCTGTCCTCTTTTTCCTCCCATAACTGCATCAGCCTTCAACTTCTGCTCATGTTGCAGAAGGTCATCCACTGCTGTTGAAACTGTAGGCAGTGGCTTTTGCAGCAATAACTGTGTCTTGATCACTTCAAACTCTGGATTAAGTCCTCTTAGAAACCTCACCAGGTAGTCAGTTTCTTGCTTCTGCACAAATGCAGTTACAGCAGCACAAGGCATGGGATTTCCAGGCGCACAAGTGCAGGGTATGATGGGGCAGAATTCCACATATTCATCCCAGAGGCCTTTGATAGCTGTGTAGTACTGATTTATGGACTTAGAACCTTGTTTGCAGGCCTGGATCTCATCCTCAATGTTCATGATCCTTAGGGCATTGGGTAACCCAAAGCGCCTCTTTAGTTCATCCCACAAGGTCTTAGCATTAGTGTGATTCAACACAGATCTGCGAATCTCCTTTGTCATGGAGTTTTGCAGCCAACAAAGTACTACAGTGTTGCAAGCATCCCAGAGACTAAACAGATCTGATTCTCTAGGAGGAATTGGCAGTGACCCATCAATGAATCCTACTTTGTTCTTAGTTTTCAACACTACTTGTATGGATCTGTTCCACATCACATAGTTTGTTCCATCGAAAGGTTCAGCAACCAGAGACTGAGACATGTTCTCATTTGGGTTAAGGTAGTAGGGATTACCAAAAACAATGGTTTCATGTTGCACTTGGTTCTGGTTGAAGGTACCAAATTGGAAACCTCCTGCTCCAGCTGTCGTCGTCGATCCACTTCCACCAATGCCAGTGGGTGGCGTGTTGGGTGGAGTCTGTCCTCCGGACATCCCGTCGTAGGCGGCGGAAACCCTAGAGCTCGTGTAGCTCTGATACCATAACGCGAAAGATAGATTTGTGGAAGAGGAAGCTCAACTAATGTTTGAGTCCTCTGTTCCTTTTTATAGATAGGAAAGTGATTAAACAAAGCTACGACAGATGTCCTTACACGATAGGCTAGATATTTAAATAAACAGTAAAATTTAACGGCTAACAACGGCTATCAACTACTAAACGATCCGGTGCGTTTTGCCTCTTCTTTCTCCACGACTTAGCAAGACGACGCCGTTCCTCTCTTCTCCTCTGATCCACTTCGAATCCTTCTGCAATAAGGATTGCAGACTTCTCTTGTTCTTCATCAAACCAACAGCACTTCATTACAACTCTGTCAGTGCAATCCCTTGGAGAATAGACGGAAAACGAGAAACGTAACTGCCTGAAAGAATTACAATGTTATACGACAGTTGAAGTTTGCAGCATGTTAAACCCATATTCAAATTAGCAACAACGATGAAATCCACAAAACACGAACTCCAATTGACTTGCTCATTAATTATCCACATTACAAATTGCGAGAAAGGAGTTGAACATTCAATCTTTGATCTAAAGAATCGATTAAAAGACGCGGTTACCTAAAACAGGTTGACGAATGACAACGAGGCTAGAGACGAAGATGACGATTCCGAATTCTAATTAGGACAATAGCGGGTGGCCGAAACCCTCATTTTTCCACGGGGGAAACAAATGGTTGCATCTTACTTCACCAGACTTCGATAGGAGAGAGATCAATCAATCGAATCGCGAGGAAGAAGAAGAACTTGAAGAATTATTTAAGAGCAACGGCGGCGCGTTTAGCTTGTGGGTCGCAATGCTGGCGAGAAGAACGCGCCCAAAAGTCCAAAACCATTGTAACTTTTAATTTCGTTTTAGGGTTATAGCCTTATAGGTATAATATGTCATTCTACTATGACGTTTTATCAAACATGTCCCTCTACTATTTTTTACATCAAACATGCCCCTGTACTTTGTAAAAATGATCAAACATGCTCTTTTGTTAAAATTTTCATCCAAAAACCATTAACCAAGGCCGAACTTTAGTTTGGGCAACACAAATGACTAAAATATCCCTGAAAATTTCACTATAAAATTTTTTTGGTTCTTTTGTATAATCAAATCATTCAAATAATTTCACTTTGAAAAGACCCAAAGAAATAAAACAGGGGACAAAACTGACATATTTCCTCCCATTTGCCGATGTCGGGTCGTCTAAATATCGGTTCAACCATGATTGACGATTTTTTCAATGGAAATTGTAACAGAAGGGCATGTTTGATAATTTTTTCAAAGTACAGGGGCATATTTGATGTAAAAAATAGTAGAGGGGCATGTTTGATAAAACGTCATAGTAGAGGGGCATATTATACCTATAACCCTTCGTTTTTTCTGCTGTTGGTGCCGCAGCCACAGTCCACACCTCTACATCGCATTAGAAGAACCAAACCGAATTAATCATTTAGGCAGTATAACGGCTAAACCAGTTAAAATACCATTTGATTGGATGGTTAATGATGGATCGGATAATTTTTTACAGTTTAACACGAAACTAGATGAACCATCACAATTAAACTAGTCCAATAATTTAGTATTTTAACCACAAAAAATTATAAAAAAACGTTACCGTAAACAAAAACCATTCAACCTCGGTCACTAATTTAATTTATACTTCTTTTTTTCATTTCCCAACCTACTTATGGGATTTATCTAATTCACTAAAGATTGCCACTCTTATTACTTATTTGAATTTAATATAAGAATTATGATTTTTTTTATATAGTTTGAATGCTTTGTTACAATTTTTTGGTGATAGAAGATATGAATTTATAATTTATAATGGTTAATGATAAATTCATTCATAAATTAGTGCATTATATGTTTTTTTATATTATGACGCATGTATAGTTCTATCAACAGTTAATTAATAGGTCTGTAATAATTTTTTTAATAAAGTTCTCTAATAATAGTACCACTAACTTTTTTGGGGTAATTATCATAAATGGTCACAAATCTATTCACTTTGTACAAAATGGTCACAATTCTTTAATTTTGCACATTTCGGTAAAACAAGTTTGAGCAAATAACAAAATGGTCAATCCGTCCAATTCCGTCCAAAAATTCGTTACCTTTTGCCTAGTCAGCATGACATGTCATTAAAAATTACTTAATCACCCTACTTACCCCACACAACCCTGTTAGAAGCCGAACAGTAACATTAGGGGTACCGATCTGGAGCTAAGTCGCGGACTAGGTCGCTCTCTTTAAGACGTTCGCGGCACTGCCTTCATTGCGCACGACAGACTATCAACCGGTCGCCTCCAGGATAAAACAGCTCATCTAATTTGCTCGGCGGTTTTGTGCGAAAACCGGACTTTTTGATAGCACTCTCTCTCGTGTTTCTGCTCTCTTGTTGTATGTTTAGAGGGTCTGGGAAGTGCTCTATTTATAAGAGCAAAACCCTAGAATATTTCCTCTTTCGTGGGGAATAAATCACACTTTAATTAGGAAGATAATCACTCACATAATTAAAATGCATTATATGAAGATAATTAATCATAATTATCTCCATAATATTCTTTTTATTAATTATTCTTGTTATTTTCGTATCTAGAAAGAATACTGGATAATTAATTCAATATAGCTTTCCAAGCTATTCATTCCCAACAAACCCAATCGGTCGTAAGAAACTCTTTACCCACCCAAATGTTCCTCTCCATCACTCCGCCATCGAAAATCCCCTTCTTCCTCTTGTCGCTTCCACCATGCCTTCTTCTCCACCACTCTGTCGAGCTCCATCGTGACAAGGACAACAAGCTCAACGAGGATGGGATCTTCTTCACCGGCGGCTCCTCCTCGGATTCCTCAGAAATCAACAACAGCAAAGACACCACTATCCCCGCAGCCCTCCCCCCCCATCTTCCTCCGCCTCGACCTCATCGCGCCACAATGCCTTCCACGATTCGTCTATATTGCTCCGTCGGATCACCGATGAGATTTCCACCAACTGAGACGAGCGGGCACTGGAGGAGGGAGAGGGCTATTAGACGGTGACTAGATGGGCCAATGGAAAGTCAATTTTCGGGAAGGCGGGAGAGTGGTACAGGTTAGAGGGGAAGTGGGCGACGACTATTCGAGTGCCGAGTAGGAGAGACGGGAAACGACGCCGAGCAGGGGACGTGGACGACGATGCTGATGCACACGCCGAGCAAGGAGACGGGAGACGATGACGAGCCGAGCAGGGGAGCTGGGAGACGACGAGCGTCGAGCAGGGGAGATGGGAGACGCCGACGCCGAGTAGAGGAACTGAATGATTTTTGGTTTTCCCATATGGAAGATCAACAGATGACCAGGAGCAAATCAGAACTCGGCGGCGACCTAGGTCTCCAATTCTTTTTTTTATTATTATTTTAAGTTTGGTTAATCCGGGTCGATTAGGTTTGTTATTAATTTTTTATTAATATTTTATGTGACGTGTCATGCTGATTGGGCATAAGATAACGGATTTTTGGACGGAATTGGACGGATTGACCACTTTGTTATTTGCTCAAACTTGTTTTACCGAAACGTGCAAAATTAAAGAATTACGACCGTTTTGTACAAAGTGAATAGGTTTATGACCATTTATGATAACTACCTAACTTTTTCGATTTAGATCCAATTCTGAAAACATTGCAAACAACTCGTTATTCCCGGTTCGGGTTTAACAACACTGGGCCAAACCCCGGTACATGGGTCGGATATCTAGAAAGTGTCAAACCCGACCCATCGAACCCATGCATATACCCCCTTCATAATTGTCCGTCAGTCCGTGAGAGGAAAGGAGAGGAGATCCGAGTGAGAAACCCTAATCAAGTGCCTACCCTTCCCCCTCCTTTGTTCTTGTGCTTCTCTGGCGTGTTTCTCCTTCCATCGGCGCCTTCTCAACTTGTTCCTTCGTTTGTGTAGCTTCTGAATCCCCTGCTTATTCGTCATGGCTATTAGTAAGCTTCAACATCAAACTATTGCTACGATGGGTTGGGTGCAGAGTACACGTTTTTATTATTTCTGTAGAGCTTAAGATTATTGTGTCTGTCTTCTTTTCGCAGGGCTTCAATTCGAGAATAATTGTGAAGTTGGTGTTTTCTCCAAGCTCACGAATGCATACTGCTTGGTCGCGATTGGAGGATCTGAAAGCTTCTACAGGTACGGCCGAGTTCTTTCCCCTGCCTATAGAGTTTGAAACTTTTCTGCAACGTTTGTGATATGAGATGATTGAAACGTTTTTTTTTTTTTTTTGTAATGGCTGGACTGCTTGCCCATGTTGCAGTATCTTTGAGTCTGAGTTGGCAGATGTCATTCCCGTGGTTAAGACCTCGATTGGGGGCATTAGAATAATCGGGAGGCAATGTGTTGGTAAGATGAGTGTTGATTTATCAGTTGTTTCGTATTATTCTAGCATTGATTTAGGCTCACTGCTCGAGCATTTGCTTTGGCTTGCAGGAAACAAAAATGGACTTCTTCTGCCACACACCACCACTGATCAGGGTGAGTTTTTTATGAGTTTTAGTAGGACATGTCTGGCTTCTGATCGCGTTTATTGATTGAACCGACTCTAGTAATCTGTTGCTCTCTTTCTCACTGGCAGAGCTGCAGCACTTGAGGAACAGTCTCCCTGATTCAGTTGTTGTCCAGAGGATAGAGGAGAGGTTGAATGCTTTAGGAAATCACGTTGCTTGTAATGACCATGTTGCTCTTGCACATCCTGATCTTGACAGGGTAAGTGTTCGTAACTATTGCTTGTGGTGCTGGCATTATAGCGCGAACTGTTCGAGTAGTGAAATGTTGGTCCGGACATGTCTGTTATCGTTGCTCAAATGTTTTAGATGGCGAAAAGTTTGTTCGATCATTCATAACCATTTCGTATCAGTGTCTGTTGCTTGAAATAATCTAAGATGGATGTGGCTTCAGGGCTAATTTATCACTTCCAACTCTACTGTGACTAGGAAACTGAGGAGCTGATAGCTGATGTTCTTGGAGTTGAAGTATTCAGGCAGACGATCGCTGGTAACATTCTTGTAGGAACCTACTGTGCTCTTTCAAACAGAGGCGGCATGGTAAGTGCTCACACTAAGCTTTTTACTTCGATTGGTCTTGGCTAGCGTTTGTTTGCACAATATGTGACATGATCTCGTATTTTGCACCAAAACTGCAGGTGCACCCCCACACTACCATTGAAGAGCTCGATGAGCTTTCCACCCTTCTCCAGGTCCCCTTGGTTGCCGGGACAGTTAACCGTGGCAGTGATACTGTAGCTGCAGGGATGACGGTGAATGACTGGACAGCATTCTGTGGCTCATACACTACGGCGACAGAGCTGTCTGTTATCGAGAGCGTTTTCAAGTTGAGGGAAGCTCACCCCAGTGCCATTGTGGATGAGATGAGGAAGTCTTTGGTTGACAGCTATGTTTGAGAGATGTTGTGGTGCATGTCAGCTGGGAGTGTGGCACCATCTCTGTCTGTAGTCCTACATTGGACTCTTGGAATTGGAGTGACAGAATGGAAAAGGAACAAGACGACTATTGTGGTCGGAGGCTCTCGTCTCAATTTTACCTTATCTTGGGCCGATCCAGGTTTTTGGTCAAATGAGTGGGCTTTAATGATTTAACATACGCTGCTATCTAAAACCCAACCGATTCACATGACCTAAGGCAGTACCGTCTATTCAGGCGGGAGAAGTTAGGGTGCTAACTCTCCGTGCTAATGAAGGGCTTATTTGGTATTTTGAAATATTAAAAAATAAGTTAATTAAAATCAAATTTACTTTTCTCTCTCCTGTTTTTACTATCCATTTTTTACCGAAAATTACCACTAAATTCATTAATACTTAGATTAATAATATTTTTGGCTGTTTATAGTAGCGTTTTATTGATTTTTTGTAGTGATTTATTTTAGTAGTGATTTAATTGTTAGTAGTAGTGATTTAATGATTTTTAATTAATAGTGATGGATGATTTATATTAGTAGTGTTTTTGTGAGTTATAGTAGTGATTTTACGTATTTAAAAAACTACTAATAAGTAAAACGCTACTAATAATGAACAAAAGACAGTGATTACTATAAGAAAAACTACTTAAAATGACGACTACATACTAAATACAAACATATAATCACTACTACATCAAAGGAGATCTATAGCAGATCTGCTTAGTTTGATTTCCATCCCGATCGAGGTCGCCTTGCATTAATTCCCAAACCCATTTGCAGGCTAACTAGAGGCTCTCTGAACTCAGCAAGGAGTGCGACCACCACCATCTCTCCAATCAAATCTTTCAAATAAAAGGGAGAAAGAAAGGAAGAGCCTCCTCATTGGCTCCAATTTTAAGTCGCCGTTAATGGTGATAGAGAGAGAGAGAGAGAGGGGGAGGCACTGAGTCATTTTCTTGTAGAGGAAGTTGTGAGAGAGAAGCCGAGGAACCAAGGACGGAAGAGAGGCAGCGAGAGTTTCTTTTATAATTAGGGTTTACGAAAATTAATGAAGGAACTGACTACAATAACCTCTGATTAATTCTGACTCTTAGATTAATATTTTAATTTGACAGTTAGAGAGGTGGTTAGTATGGTGCTAACTCTTTTAGAGGTTAGCATCTAATCTCATTCCTCTATCAGGCACAAGATGGCGAAAATACCGGTCAATCACGGATACCTGCCTTACCGCCTTATACCAACTCGATTGGATAGATAAAGTTCGAATTAAATAAGTAGCTTACAGTATGGTTAATAATTGAACTCGTCCGATTATACATGCAAATAATACTTTGTATAATTCGTCATTTTTAATTTTAACATATTCAATATTTCTAGTATGTTGTTGCCTCATAAATCAGTGTTCTTTTATTATTATTTCTCTGATTTTTATTTATAACTTTTCACTTATGTAATGTTAATACAATTATGATTAGTAACACAATAGTTGAGAAGACAAAGACAAATTATTAATTGAGAATATTCATGAATACCCAAAACTCGATTGGGTATGTACACATTTTAATTTACTACCCAAATTTTACATTGATATGTGTATAAATAAAACTCGAATTAATTATAGTAGAGTAATGGATAGTCACTATCTACCACAATCCAACTTTTTACCATACCTAAGCATCATCTAAGAGTTTTTTTTACATATCGGGAATAAATGTACTTAATCAGTTAATCATTATGTACATAATGAAATAAAAAAAATAACCATTGAAATATAAATCATGTTCATAATGAAATTAAAAAAAAAGAACCATTGAAATATAAGAATTAATACATGGAGATCGAGTGAATATCAGTTAGTCTTTCCGGTTAGTGAAGCTGGTACTTAGCACGCCACATTTAGCGATCGAAACTACAGAATCTTGAAAACTAAAATTTCATATTCAAATGTGTTTACTCAACAGTCACAGGCTCACAACAATCTTCATCTACTTAGAGCATCAATATCATGAAGCAGTTCGAGATTGAACTCAGACATGTTTTAGAAGATCCACCGCCATATGCAGATTACAATAAAAATAAAGAAAAATAGTATTGGAAATTTGGAATGAAAAGTGTTATATCAATAAAGGGCTCGTACTTTACTGTTTACGTCAATTGTGACCATATGTTTCGATATGACAATTGTGTACTATAGTATGAAGGTATGAAGTCCTTTATACCCCGCCCTCAAACCCCCGTATGTCTTCCTTGACACTTCCCTTCTACCTTCTTCTCACACATCTCTTTCGATAGAGCCAGAGCCCGCCACTTCAACTCCATTAGAAATTATCTTCGTCGTCGCCTCTCTCATCATCATCCGTCAAACTTCATCCTGACGACGATGAAGAAGATCTCTATATGTACAACACATCCATGCTTGTTGATCTAAACTTAGCATATCCCGTCCTAATTTGCGGCCTGGCGGTATGCTCTTGGAAGGCAAAAGACACTAATTAGGTATTCATGTGCACATAGATCACAAAGAGATGATAAGAAAGGGCAAAAGGATGAGATTTGGACAGTCAAGAAAGGAAGAAGGTGGGGAAAAACTTGCCAATGACACATAACCATGGAAAGATATTTTGGTTCCTAACCCCCTGATTTTGAGCACGTTTCGAAAACCCAAACTAGAAAATCTCGTTTCCCTTTTGCCTTTATAATCCCCTCCCTCCAAAGAGTAAGGAGACTGTCTCTCTCACCAAAAGAAGAGAAAACCCATATAGAGAAAGATTAGAGAGAGAGAGAGCCATTAAGACATGGAAGAGTAACATTCACCAAACCTTTACTAAACACACCCACATGAATTTTGTTCCCATTTCCCATCTCAATTAGGAAACCCACAAAGGAAGCTTTCCTGTGATAAATTGCACTTCCTCTTGGATTAGTGTTCTTTTATGGGCATGTTAGGCAAATTGTCCAGCCGGCAATTACTTGACTTTTTCTGCGAGTGTGTTCTTCAAGTCACTGTTTTGAAGAAAAAATCCGTGTTCAATTTACAACCCATTTTCAACAAAACAACTCTCGATGAATATTATGAAGAAGAAAGGTTAGGCAAAGTGAGATTAGTTTCCAATCGACAGCTAGCCCTCTGACAACTACTAGTAATTTGAATGGTAGGTAGTTCATAGTTCAAACCTTAAAATGTGTTTAAGGTCCTAAATGATTAACACCTAAACTCAATTAAGAGCTTAATTAATTAAGTCGTCTTCTGGGTCATAAGGTCAGCTTATGCGTTGGCTGAAGTTTCGTCTGAAATTTTGCCTCTTTTGGCATTCCAATCCAAATCTAGGTGGTGGATGATTTAGTGGCAAATCGGGTATGTGTCTTCCATAATCAATTAATCATTGATTATATAATTGAGTGGCCATTGAGGAGTGATAGAATAGTGTTTTTGTAGTTAATTGTTGATCCACGACGACTTAGGAGTGTGTTTTGTGTGAAATTATGCTCGTAACATGAGAGGATTGAATAGGGGAGGCTAAGGGTTAAGAAAGAATATTAGTGAAATTGCATTTTGGGATAAACTTGCCATCTCGTCACTAATATGCGGTTCAACTGGCACAACCGAACGGTATAGTATAGTGTCACAAATACATTGAAAGATTCGTGACCATTTTTATTAATTTGTGCATGTTTGGATCTAAAACGTGGTGCAAAATGATACCCTAACATGTATTATTAACTAGGAAAGATGTTTTGAGACCCTAACCAACTTGGTATCCTGAATTTCTAAGCTAACGTTATTTAGTATTGGATGATGTTTGGTACGAACAATTATGTGGTACCGATATGTTTTAATATTATTAGTCATGTGACATAACGTAGAGAGTATCTACAAATATATTACAGCAGAGTTGGGCAAGTTTTTCAGCACTTCAAATTTCCTGCAGCGAGAGCGAAAGTAGGAAGGGTAATTGTATCTACATAATCATTATTTATTTTTTATTCATAAGAAAAAAATGCATCAATCTCAAGATTCGAACCATGGTCTTTCCAAACTAAGACAACAATCATTACAAATTACGCTAAAGAAATATTTTGTATCTTTTTAAGTAAAAAAAATCTGAAAACCTGAAATCTAAAATTCATATAACTTTTCCATTACTGTTTGCTAGCCCACTAACTTTCCCGTAAGTACTTTCTTTGTTATTTGATATTTGAATTTTTCATATTTTGATTATTTTAATTTGAGTTTAATAATAAATTTAATTTATGTCTATCTTATAAATGGAGGATAATTTTAAAATTGAAACCCAAATATCATTTATTCGAATATTACATATTGAATTGCAGTATTGAATGTGTAGACGTGATGTAGAATTCTTAACTTGGTATTAATTTTTAGAACTATTAAAGCAACGATTTTGTTATGCAAACTGTAAGTGACCAGTTTTTGAAAATTTTAGTTTGGTTTACTGTTAAATCCTCACTCTCTTGATAATATGGCATGATTGGACAAATGAGTGAGTTTAAACGAACACAATTTATGAATACCAATTTTTAGATTATTTCAATTATTTAAATCTTTTATCATATAGGGTAACTGATCATTTGTATCATTCATATTTACTTAGTTTAATATGAAATAACCCCATTACAAGATAAATCATGAAAGTCGAGCTGGAGTTTTTATGAACGCATTGATGTGGTCATGTGCATTAGCAAAGTAGGTACCATAATATAGGTTTAATTTTTTTGTTGAGTGATAAGATTGTACTTAGAGTATGTTGGTTGATAAATAATTTTTTCATTGCATAGAGTATGGACGGAAAATGTTATTTTCTTACTAATTTTGTTATTTTATTGTGCATAATATTTTTTAAGGTTTAGATACTGTTATATATGTATTGTTTCTCAAGTATAAGAAATAAATATTTAATAAAGGTTATAATCACGAGTTTTCTATTTATACTACGCTTTTTCGGACAAACTCCTTTTTTGTTATGTAATTTTCTTTTCAGCCATAGGCAACTAAGTAACTACAACATTAAATAGACAAGTTATGAATGATTATTCATAAATGTTATAACCAAGATTGTTACACCTCTACCGGGCGGCTGGTTGGATTAGGTCCGACCAAAGTCGTGTTCAAAAACGGGCTCCACAAAACCAAGTGTCTGATCGTTAGAGAGGGAGAAGAAAAGAGAGGGAAGGGGGAGGGAGAGAGGGAGAGAGGTAAGAGGATGGTGGGTGGATCTTGATAGTTGATATAAGTATGTTTTCTTATGGAATTTGAGTTTTTAATAGATATAAGTTATTAAATCCCATTTCAGTCACTAAATTTCTATTTTATATGTAAATATATTTTAAAAAGGTGTAAAATGGCTCAAATAGGTTGGAACTCAATCAAACCATTAAACTTCAAACTACTTGCTTGTCCGGCTCAACAACTTAAACCGGTTTGACAACTTTGGTTATAACAATTAAGCTTACAATGTTCATCATTGATGAAAAGTTATAAGAATTTCGAAAATGAAAAAATAATTTCGATGTCACCTTATTGTCATACGAAATTCAACATATCAAGTAATTTAAAAACTTTAAATACACATCATACATATATTGTATTCAATGACATTCCGACCAACGGGTCGGACAACAAGTTAGTTTCAATGATATAAGAAGGGCAATGTCTATTTTTTACCCAAGCCTTTTTCAGATTCTTTTATTTTAACCAAACCTATAGAAATTCTATTTATTATCCAAACGTATTTTAATTTATCAAAGTCTGGGCATTCATTCTGTTACCGTTACTTATTTCGTCCACGTGAGGGGTGGGATTTTGTTTTGTTTTTTGATAATCTTTTTATTAAAAATAGTAAATGATGGTATTCTGACTGTCACGTAGGAAGTCAACTCATTATGGTCATACTTAGTCAGCATTACTAACAGAAAAGTTGACGGAGAGTTACCGTTTGGATAATTTTTAGGAATTCAATAGGTTTGGTTAAAATAAAAGAATCTGAAAAAGGTTTGGGTAAAAAATAGACATTGCCCATATAAGAATGTGTACGTTGGGAAGATATTATCGGTATTCCTGTAGTTATATTATATATATGCATCATAAATACGATACTCCAATGGATACAGATGGAGTGGCCATTTTTTTGCCGGACGAAAACGATTGATGATTAGTTGTTTGCTTGCTGAAATTAAGTCACCATTTGGTTACAAATAACAAAGTTTAGTGACCATTTTACTCCTACTTCCATGCAGTGATTAAACTAACTGTTTCGTATCTTTTGGGATCGATGCGCAATCTGTTATTTATTTGTTGTTCCTCTACTTCTTTTTTTCCCTTTCGGTTTATATGCAAAGCAAAAACAAAAGGTGAAAAGAAAATTGCCCGAGGGGTTGTAATTGTCAGCTCCGGAGGTAGCAGTTTCTGCTTAATATGTCCACAGGACATGTGATCCCCATTATTATTATTATTATTGAATCTAAGTGGAAAGATTAATTACTAAACACGGCCCCTAATCATCATTGTTTTTCTCTCTTGGATTTGTTAACAATTTAATATTACGTGAACTTGTAAAATTATGGCATGCCACCCCGGGGCAGCTATGCCTTATGTAACAAAATATGTTGCGAAGCTTTAGCGATTTGTTTGGATGAGTTATTTCAATCAGTTATTTTGTTCTTATAGTTATTATGGCCGAAAGAATTATTCTGGCAATGAAAAAATGTGACAAATTAGCTAGGAGTTAATCGAAATAACTTAATTTATGAAATACCGCAACCAAATAACTCACATGAAATTGAGCTGTACCAGCGCCTTTAGAAAGGATCACGAATTTTCTATTAAGGATCTAATTATCATGTTTATCGAAGTTCGAATTTGTTCTTGAGCAAACCATGAGTGTTAACTCATACGGGAGTTAGATTTTTCTCTTTCAAGTCCACCTCCATCCAATGTGTAATTATGTATCAACATTTCTATAATAGTGTTTGGAGCTTTTGATCTCTCTGTCGAGAATACAACAGACGAACTAAGACTTATTTATTACGAACGAAATGTCGAGAGGTTCGTGCGGTAAAGTTTTTAACTGATGAGTTTGTAATGTCAAAAGTACTGGAGCGTAGGGGCTAGCACCGGTAAGCCAAAAATCCCGTCTAAAACCATCCAAATTTAACCCTAAACTGATTAATCTCATCCAACCCGCTTGCCATCTAATTAATCTAACAAGATTATAACAAATTCATAACTCTTCCGACCGGTAAATTGATCGGTGTATGATCCCTGATCGACCTGTGACCCGATTTACCTGTCACTGTATCCTATATAAACAAAGCAACAAGAAATTACCCCTAAAAAATTTGTAACCAGAAATTCGATCAAGTTGGAAACAAAGCAACCATTAGCCGGATCAAGAACAGTAGCGTGCGCCGCAGCGAGCGCAGTGCGCACCAAGTTCCCCACTTCTCAAGGCTAATAAAAGAGTGGAAGAAAAAGGGATAATTCTGCTAGTCTGCACCTGCGACCACCACCCACCTCGTCTCTCTGCCAGCCTCCCTCCGCCAAATCAGAACTTCTTAAATAACCCATCAAAGCTTCCACTTCACTACCCAGTCTCTCTCTCTCTCTCTCTCTCTCTCTCTCTCTCTCTCTCTCTCTTCCTTGAGCCCAAAACAAGCAAATAGCACAAGTTTCCTTATCTTTCCCTTTTCGTGCTTTCTTTCTTTTCCTCTGCAAATCCTCCCACCATTCGGATCCCCACCTCCGCCTCCACCCACCCGGATACCGGAATTTCAGTTAATGAGACCCGCCGGAATGATATTATGGATCCCCCGCTTGTAAACGAGTCGTCTTTCTCCGCTGCCAACCCTTCTTCCTACAGCTTGGCGGAGATTTGGCCATTTCAGGGGATCAATGTGGAAGCCGGTGCTGCTGGGTTGGGCCTCCGAGTGGGCAATTTAGCCTCTGCAATTGGGTTTGGAATTGGACACCCAGATGGGTCCGCTGAGGAATCCTCGGTGACGGACCATAGTGTCGCCGCCGCCGGAAATGCCAGGAAGCGGAGGGATTTCAGCTCCGAGGATGAATCTTCTAGGATGGTTTCTACTACTAGCAGCGGCAATGAATTGGTCTGTGTTCTGCTACTCCCTCTCTTTCTCTCTCTTGTTTATCTTCTTCACAATTTACCCAATTTCCCCTGCTGTTTGACCCTGCTGTTATTTCTTTGTTTGGATCCAATTTTTCTTTTGTGGGAAATTTTAAAAGATTTGGAATTTGGGTTCTTATCTCCAGCAAATTTGATGTTGAGAGAGTTGTTTATATTATGCCCTTTTCATCAAAGTGATGTAATGATTTGAAAAGTTTATGGCTTTATGTGGAATCGAGATGGGGACTGGAACAGCATTACAGCAATGACTTGTTTGTCTTCAACCGACTTGCCCATGATCGTGCTTTTGGACTTGAAGCTGCAATGAATTTTGACCACTCAACTTCTGTACTTTTTGAATCAACCAGATGACTTATCTCTGTGCTACTTCTTCTTATTCCAGAATGATTCCAAGAATAAACGGATGAAGCAATCAGGGTCCAGAAATGAAACTGGTAATTCTGGAGCTGAGCCAAATTCTACTGCTAATAACGCGGCAGTTGATCAGAGTAAACCCTCTGAGCCGCCTAAGCAAGATTTCATTCATGTGAGAGCAAGAAGGGGTCAAGCCACTGATAGCCACAGTCTTGCTGAAAGAGTAATGCACTCCTCCTAATTCGCTAGGTTTGCTCAAATTTGAGGAGCTTGGGTCATGGTTAAAGCAGTTTACTTACAGTATCTTTGGCTTTGACAGGCGAGGCGAGAAAAGATAAGTGAGAGAATGAAGTTACTTCAGGATTTGGTGCCTGGTTGTAACAAGGTACTTAACTAGGGTTTCAATTTTAGAAGTATTTTCGAGTTTGGTTTGTGTTACGCTTTCGTTCATTTCTGAACTTCTTGAATCAATTTCTTAAGCATCGATCTACTTGATTTTTCTCTCAGATAATTGGCAAGGCGCTGGTACTTGATGAGATCATAAATTATGTTCAATCCTTACAACGGCAGGTTGAGGTATTACTACTTGATTCTGTCCCCGGAGTGCAGATTTTAGCATAAATCGAGTTTCCTAGCTCTCTGTTCAATCTGAAACATGTTCTCTTTGTGCATTTGATTTTGTAGTTCCTATCGATGAAGCTAGAAACTGTAAATGCGAGGATGGGCATGAACACGGCCATGGAGGGTTTTCATCTTAAAGATGTAAGTCTACTTTTACAAGTGCTATTATATCAGTTGATCGATCAATCTCAACATTTGCTTGTGGAAATTATGGGATCTTCTGATGTGTAGAATTGATGCCCTAGTGGGCACTAACCTATGATCTCTGTGACCATTGACATTTAAATTGAACCAGACTGAACCAAATATCATTCAATTACCAAATTTGGAGCCTATTCTTGTTTGGTTCCATTGATTTTCTGACAAACGAAGAGAAAGGCAGACCAAATCGAAACATGATATGACTGGATCGGATCAAATGCACTTTAAATTTGACTCTGGTCCCCAGTTTCCTTGATTTTTTTTATCTGATTCTATGTATATTTGGTCCGATTGAACCAGATTGCACCAGCCCGACCCCTTAGAGGGCTTGCATGAAAAGGTTACTAAACAGGACAGGACACCATGATTGAGTGACCCCCATCCCTTTGTAGCACTTCCATGTAGCTTGTATGTTTAGAACTTTCCAATAAATATCAGTTACCATCTGTGTACTTACAGTCCTAAGCGGTCAAGGTCAAGGTTATCATTTGAAATGGCAGATTGTATTCTAGATGCAGCCCACACCAAGAGTTGCATTTTCTTTACAAGCTTATCTTGTCTTTGATATAAAGCCTTTATCTTGCCTCACTTGTTATCTTTATCCATTCTATCAATATGTACGCGAATCTGCAGATATACTGCCAACTCTTTCCCCTGAATTTCAGATATGGAGTTTTAGAATTAGCTAAAGATCCGAAAACTTGTTGTGGTTCTGTTTAATTTGCTCATCTACTTCTAATCCTGCGTAGAAAACCGTGAATATGATTCCCATGATTCTCAACAGAGACTAGAAACTCTTCTCGGTCATTTGCTCTCTGACATTTCATTATGTTTCTGTAGCTCGGCGGCCATCCATTTGATGCTACTGGGATGATGTTCGGACAACAAGCGACGAGGGAATACGTGCAAGGACCACAAGCGGAATGGCTACACATGCAGGTTGGTGGGGGTTTTGAAAGGTCATCATGATCATGAAGCAAGCAACTATAGATTTGTTCTTCTTTGGTTCTCATTATTGATATAAATGGTGTTGAATATGTTTTCCTTTCTCTCTACCTAGTTGCGAGAGAATACTCTAGTTTGTAATCTTGTATCATGTGTAGAAAACCCCCCTATTCATTGTGTATCATACTCACGGATTCACCGATTCAAAAACCCTGATAAAACATAGTGAATTCAGTTTGCAAATGGTGAAACTGTAATGGAATTTTGTAAGCTTCTTTTTTCCCCCCACCAACTAGTGATATCAAGTACTGAAATTGTGCTCCAAGGTCTGAATTACATCATCCCCAACTAGGAAACCCTTGGCCAAGACTTCATCAAGGATTTTGCTGGGTTTAGAACCAAAAACTGCTTTAGCTACATAAACAGATCATAATCTGCCAAAGCTACGGCAGCAACCGCTTTTTCTGTACCCGACACCATTGTACTGGAAATGAATCAAGCCCTTCGGCGTTGGGTTCAGAAACATGTCCTGATGCTGTAGGACATTTGAGCACAGGATGTCAGCTGTCGACGCAAACCCTAGGAGTAGCTCCCCTTGGATGCTAGTTGCGCTACGAGCAAGGGATACTGCAAATCACTGAAGATCAGCAACTTGCCTTACATAGGGACTAGGGACACGGAGTGATTGGGATGGCAAGTTCTGTTCTTGTTTCCTTGAGTATATATTGCAAGGAGGCAGTTGTACTGGAAATAGATTGCTGCAATCGCAAGCGGTAAGGAGTCATTGTACAGAGGATTTCAGTTGCTTTCAATGGGGGAGTTGACTTGGGAGTTCCATATCTCAGCTGTTGCCTAGAATATCAATAGAGAGAGGTTTGGAAGGACAGTTTCTGTTGCACTAAAATATCAGTATAGAGAGGTTTGGAAAGACAGTATCAGTATAGAATCTGATGAAAATGGGTAGTTTTTGGCCTTTGTGCATTTTTCAATGCAATCAGCCTACCCAGCTGATCTTCTTGCCTCTTTGAGAGCAGGGGCCAGGGGCTGATGCAGATGCAGATGCAGTCTAGTATCTTCAATATCTTTTAACCTGATTTTCGCACCAAATTAAGCATTCTTTTTTTACATCTTACTTCTCTATTTTAACGCTTGAATTTGTGCTAGCTAAATATTTGTTCGGCAAACTTGGAACAAATTTGCTTTCTACCTGAAATATTAAATTTTATGTGACTGTTTATCCGCAATTTGAATAGTTGAATTTTGTTCAGCCAAGTATTTGTGGAATCATTTGATTTTTCGAAATACATTGTTAAACATTCAAAAGTTTAGAATACAACGAGGATATTAGTTGTATGGACTATGTTAGAAGTATGGTAAGGGTGGTAAATAGCAATGTTTTAGAAAACGTACTTTAATTGGAAATTATCAGATTTTGGTTTCCAAATGGCAGTGAGTTTTAAAGATATGAAATTGTTGAACCATGATTACATCATGATTTTAGTACAAAATACTCTATTATTGACTTTTTCGATATAACATGCAATACAATTTCACAGTCGTTGATAAATAGTAGTTAACCTCGTGAATTTCTAGATATGAGGTTACCACACCTAACCCTACACCAACAAATATCACAAAGCATCTTTCTTCAAGTAAAAACATTTCATAACTTCCTAGTCAGATCCCTTAATAGATTTCGGTAGATATTTTATGATTAACCACCTCCGTGAATATTAGCAAATCAAACTGTGGGTTCGTTTGGAAAACAGGATTCAGGACATGGATTCATTGAATCCGTAGATTTTGTAGAAATTTATGTATTTTTGTTACTTTTTGTATTGTGGATTCTAGCTTTAAAGTTTTCAAATCTCTAAAATCTGCGGATATTAAATCTCTCATAATCAGAGAGATTCTATATCTTGATTCGTGAGATTTTTTCTCTCCTAATTTTTCTCTCCCTTTTATTTATTTATCACATGAAATATATTTATCAACAAATTTTTTTTATATTTCTTGTACCACTCTAATTTTTTTATTAAGGATAAACATGTTATTTAATATAAAATGAAATTTTTTATTTTTCTTGATTGTTAACAATCACAGTTACCAAACAATAAACATTTTAAAATCTGTTTTCAACAATCCGAAGAGTTAGAATCTTTAGATTATTGATAATCTGTAGATTTAAACGGAGTAATTTGACTAATTCACAGAAGAAACCTAAGCTGAGAATTTAGAAAGATAACTCCAATAATTTTTATTTATATAAAGATAAGTCATTTTCATACCATTTTCACTCTGATGAATTTTGTAAATATGCGGTACATATAAAATTACAAATTACAGATGACGTTAAAACAACAAAACGAAACTTCTATTTTACACAAAGGAAAAATAGACAAATTTATGTACGTTACTTATGAATCCGCGTACAAATATCGTTACTACGAGTACCTAACAATCGTGGATAATAAAACGATTCAACCGTATAAACACATTCTTACGCCAATCCGCGCCAGATGCAGTTTCAGAACACCACAGTTTCACCTGATGAACTTAGCCTTGATGCTTCTAACAACATCCTCCCCAACAAGGAACGATTTGGCCAGCACTCTGTCAGGAACAGAAGGCTCAGCAGCAAACAGCGCCAAGGGAGCAACCACAGAACCAGGCAGCTGGCTATTAAACGAAGTGATCAAAATTGCCTTCTCAATCCCAACATTCAGCTGAAAATGAACCAAACCTCTGGGGATCACAAACATCTCGCTCGCAGCCAGCACCCTCGAGTGGTACACCCCGGCCGTGGTCACGAACCCGACCAGGACCTGCCCCTGGACCACCACCCCGGCCTCGCTGGCCCGCGGGTGGTGGTGGGGAGGGTTGATTCCGCCGGGCGCGATGTCGACCCGGTTCATCGAGATCCCCAGGGTGTTGAGCCCCGGGAAGGCCTCGACGTTGCCCGGGGTCACGAACGAGCCGAAGTCGTTGGACGACGTGTTCGCCTCGTTCGTGAACCCGGAGAAGAAGAAGTCGTCGGAGGTTACCTGCGACGCGGGCTTGCAAGGGAAGCCTGTCATTGTGAAATTAGAATTCGGTGAAAACTGATGCGTATTAATATACTAAAACCACATAGGGTTTTATATAGAGTATAGTGACCGACTCCTGTAATAACATCTAATACTAATACGGAAATTTACCGTTGATGGTTGTGGTGGATTGTAGGTCCGCCACGCAGAAGTCCTGCAGCGGTTCAGGGTCGGCCGAGGAAGTGTGTGTAGTAGTGAGGAGAAGTAAGAACAGAGTGGTGATGCAGAGCAGGGGAGTTGGCTGTGAGTTCATCATGATGATGATCAATGGGGAGCTACAACAGCTTGAAAAGATGGGAGCTTTTGTTTTGTTTATATATATAGGAGTGGATTTTTACCTGCTGCTGATAGCTCCTGATGGTTTTCGAAGACTAATAAATCTTTCTCTGGATTCTCTTGAAGAGGAAGTCAAGATGTCTGGAAACAGGGGAAGGGTGTGACGTGAGAGGCAAGCAAGTTGGATAAGAAGGAGATTGTCGAAAGGGCCAAGGGGGGCACTGAAATGAGCATGGTGATGTAAGGAGAGGAGGGAGAGGGTGAAGTGGTTGTTTTGGCGGCTTGGGTTGAAATGGTCGCGAGAAGGATTCAATGGCTGCCCCCATGAATGAAGTTAACTGGCCACCTAATCCAGGGGAAATGGAGGCCAATTTCAAACTCAAAAGGCATTATTGTAACAATTTTCATATCTCTACACTTGAGTTATTCTGGTATTGGTTAGGGTTTACACGTGGTTTTACACTGCAGCAAAAAAGGGCGACCTGATTTGAAGTTTTGTCATGACACGAGGGATGAAGAAGTCAGAGGAGGTGAAGTGGTTGCACCAGAGTTTTTACATCAGCAATGGATGAACAATTCGTCTCTTGTGCTGGTAGGAATGTAAAATAAAATGATGAAAAAATGAGGTAATTGCGCATCCGGGGAATCGAACCCCGGTCAGTACCGTGGGAGGGTACTATGATACCACTACACTAGATGCGCTTTTGTTGGTGAGAGATGAATATTTTGTTTACTTAATGCATCTAAAACGTCCGGCTGCATATCTATTATTTTGCCTCTCTCAAACATGGAGCTGGGCGTGCATCATGAAGGGAGGACACTGGAGAGCAGGAAAGTTTCTTCTGATTGATGGACCTTGGACTTGAGGCTTGAGATGGTCGATCGAAGAGGGTCGAAGCGCCTCGCTATAAGAATGACGCTCGGCGAAGTCTTTTTCCTTCACGCTGATTCGTTCGTTCTCTCAGTAGCAAAAGCGCTTCTCTTTGCCCCTTAAGTAGAAGGATTAGAAATAGGAGGATTCAGAGGCACGGTTCTGTGGCTTGGCTAATAGTTCTTGCCTTCTGGGTCACCTCTCCACATGCACTAGGGTTATTAGCTGGAGGGATTGTGGTCGATGTTGCTTATGTTATCATGGATCTTTGAAACTCAGGATCACTTCTTTCAAAGTTGCAGATTCGAAGGGACTAATCGTTGTGAGAGCTTCACTAATAGGATTTAGTTACAGAGTTACACACATCGGAATTGGACAAATTCAGTGGTGTTGGATTCATTGGACTTTCTAGTTGTAGAATCCGGAGGGAGAAAGCTAGAGAAGAAAAGTGAATCTTAACTAAAGTATCTGACTTCAAAGATAACATAATTACATAAATCAAGCGACCGAAAGCAAATCCCTTTGAACTACACTTTGGATAGCCCAGATGTTTTTGTTTATCTAGGCCAGTCCTTCAAGATTCTGTTAAACTATATGTATATGGGGCAAAAGCCAAATCATGCTACAGAAGTAACTCTCATGAGCAGCATCTATCTAACCCACGTGCCATATAACCATGCTGAATTCTCCTGATGTGCAGTGCCCGAGAGTCAAATGTTATATCTGCATTCTGCAAATCAAAACATGATCGCACAACTATGAAGGGCACGTAGAAAGCAGTTTACTTGACAGCAGAAGGTGAAAGTTCAAACCTTTCTAAGGCAGCAGCAGTGATAGGGATGACGCCGGATGGAGAAACAAGAGCATCAACCGGTACATCTTGATCGGTCATTGATATAGCTCCTTCCTCCATGATTTGCACAGAATATGTGAGTGCAACTGCAGGATCAGAGCAAGTCAGGTGAGATAGCATGCAGCAGACTTGCTGGATAATCAGTACAATGAGTAGAAGATAGAATACCAAGTAAGGGTTGCGTCCAGTTCTTCTCCTTTGCACGGAGCTGGTACTTCCTCAAGAAAGTATCGTAGTATCTTTTGGATTCAAATCATATGCAAAGAAGGGAATGCACAAAATTAGGCAGCCTTTCAGTTTTCACTGAGTTTATACAGCAGGATGATCTTTTATAGTAACAATTACACATGGAAAAGGCCATCTAGCAGTAGATGAAAGTGGATTTCACTATCATATTAATGGCTGAGTAGAATTAAAAGCACCCAAGGCTAACAGTTTGTCACTTATGGTGAGCATTGAGCAGAGAAGTCTCTGAAACGAGTGACAGTTTGCTCCAGAAATGAAAACAGTACATAAATACTGATAGGAACCATACCCTCCTCCACGCCCTAAGCGTCTTCCAGATTTGTCAAATGCAAGTCCTGGAAACAGTTGAAGGATGTTATTGTCTGGTTTTCCAAACATGACAGTATCTGACAGAAACTCTTAACAAAAGTGGACACCGAGCAAGAGTACAGAAACAATTACCAGGTAAAATGAACAAGTCAACTGGCTCGTCTGATTCCATAACTGCAAAGCCAAGAGTAATCATCGCACACAGGAAGATACAATTATATAAAATGAAAACACCGAGCTCTATTGTCAAGAGAGGCATTTGCAGAACTAGAATATTATAGCCAGCGCTATAAAGATGGTGTCTCTCGTATACATAATTCCAATGTAAATGTGAGCAAGGACTTTCACTTAAGTTTTACCCTGACTCTCTCCTACATCATCATTCCCCGTCTCTTTTCGACTTATTGTCATCTTGACTCTGTACTCTAATCTGAAGTAAGCCTTCATCATGCAGGAAGAATTGATGAAGGAGTAGACCCCATAATACAGGACCAAAAGTTACAGGATCTAACAGTCTCTTCCTTTCATAGCATGCAACTGACCCTGATCAAGCTTTTTTCAACATGAATGGCTTGCTCACAAGCAACACTAAGCCCAGTGGAGTCCCCCGATCCCATAACTACTTCCTATGAATTTCTCCAATAATTCCAAAGAGAAGGAAGAATAAATGAAAACATAAACAGTAAAAAGACAAAGACAGTAGCTTAAGTAAGCTAGGCTTACCATCTTCTCTCGGATTTCCATTACGATCAACAGCAGCCGGTTCCAAAATATCCATCGAGTTAGCAATCAGATCATCCATGCTTGAGATCAGGAACATCCTCATGTTACTATTCTTATCTTCTACTCGGGGAACATATAGCTTCTTCGCAACACTCGAATCGCCATCTAACAAGACAACAAGCAAAACCCCATTACACAATTTGAATAATTTCCCTTGCCATATGCATCAAAATCAACTCTTTGCATATCAGGATGAAACAATGAAAGCGCACCAGAAGAGGAGGGAGTCTGGAGGATGTGAGCTAAAAGCTTGGATGTGTCGACTTCTCGCAGAGCACTGCAGCTTATATAAGCACACATTCTGCGACTGGACTTGAACCATGGGGCTTCCATAACAATGTTCTGAATTGCTTCATCTGCAAAACCCCCAAATCAAAAAAAAAAAATGAAGAAACTTTCAATGGTGGGGCAGCAATGGTCGGAGCTGTGGACCTATCAATGCAATCGATAATCGAGATGGTTAGCTAACCTTCTTGGGATCTGAGAGAAGGGTCCATGGACTTGAGGGACTTGCGGACTTTGGATCGGAGGAGGCGCTTCTGCTTGAAGGCATCGTCGAGATTGGAGGTTTGATCGGAGCTCATGGCGGCGAAGAATATGGAAGGCCGTCGGCGGTAAGGGAGTTGGTGGGAAATGTAGGAGTATTGGAGTGGAAGTGGAGTGGGGAAATGGCGGAGTTGGAACCGCTGAAGAAGAGTGGGGAGTAAGCAGCGGCAGCAGCCGGCAAGAGAGGCGACCATCTGGCAGAGTTGTTGAAGCTTTGCCTGTTCGTAACTTTTGCACCAGTGGCCCTCGTTGTGTTTGTTAAATTTTAACTGGCCCCTGATCCTAGATTTTTGCCAAATTGACCTCTTTTTCTTCTTCTCTCCCAAAAAAGACCTCTTTTTCTCGTTCCTCTTTGGCTGGCCAGCATATATAATTTTTTCCAATATTTTATTTCCATTTCGTTCAATAATTTGAACGGTTTGTTTGTTGGTAGTGTCTTGAGTTTTTGTGACTTTTGACAAAATTTATATTTGTCTTTTTTAATTGTTAGAGCATCCACTGATCCACATCGATGCATAGGGTTGTTAGCGGTGTGGTTTCGATTTAAACCGAACCGTAAACGCGATTAACCCCAGCTGACTAACATCCAAAAATCTCAACCGCAACGACACCGATTGCCTTGTCGGTTAGTCGAAAATCGTCGTCGACGGTTTCGGGTCGGTGTCATGGTTAGCTGAAGATCGACGCAGGGGGTGGATCTGGCCGGATTTCTGGATCCGCTGGGCGACGCCGGCCTTGTTGAGCGAAGTCGGGATGGTTGGGTGACGTCGCCCTTGCTGGGCGAAGTCGGGCTTGTTGGGCGACGGCGGGACTGCGGGGCGACGTCAGACTGCTAGGCGATAGCGGGACTGCGGGGCGACGATGGCGAGATGAGTGACGATGGGGGAATGGCGATGGCGACGATTACCGGGAGTCTGGGACTGGGAGCTGGAGGACGAAGGCATCGATGGGGAAGCCGAGCAGGGCGGTGACGAGTGACGATGGGCCAACGACTGGCAGTAGGGACGCCGAGGAGTCTGGGATGATGGGGTGTGCGGTTGTCACGGTTTAACCGCCATGATTTCGATTTTCACCGATAACCGCAACCCTCTCTAATTTGCTTATGACTGCCAACCGACGACGCGGTTTTCAGCCGTCTGAAAACCTGACGGTCTTGGTTCGGTTACGTTGTTAACCAAATAACCAACCACTGATTAACAACCATATCAATGCAATTGCAAAAGCAATTGCATTTATGCTTTTTATTAGCAATTCAATTTTTTTTGCAATCCACCTCAAATCACACTTTCATTCACATATATCAATGCAATTAACTTGAAATTGCATATGTAATTGACTATTATGTTTAAATTATAAAAACTCAAGTAAAAGAAAAAGAAAATAAAAAAATAAATAAAAATCTCCATTTTTAGACTTTTTTTACTTGCATTTGTTGCAAGCTTGCAAATATTCAATTGATAACCACATAAATGTAATTAGTTTTGCAATTGCAAACACGCATGTCATGTCACTTGCAATTGAGATTGCAATACCAATGTGGATGCTCTTATTATTCTGGCTTCGTTAAAATCCCTTTTGAAAATTTTGAAAAAAACAATTTTGTAGTCTAAATAATTTTACTTTTTCGAACGAAAAGAAGTTGCTAAATAAACTCAATACATAGCGTCTAATTGTAAAAAAAAAACACTGAGGTTGGGGGGCTTCAGTTCATTGAGGGCAATCAACACGATTTTCTACCAATCTTACCATTCTTGTAATTGCGTTGAAAGTTTATGAGCCAAGCATGGTTGCTTCTAAAATTTGATAATTTTTTTCTAAAATTTGATGAAAATTATATATTTTAATGATTATTTATGAAGTTGGAGGGAAATTATGATTTTTCATGTGCATTCTCTTGATTTTTGGCTATTAGATCATGCAGGTTTTACTAGATAATACGCGAGAAACTGCTACTTGCATTATGCGGCTAACGAATAACCGCTAACCAGATTCATTGTAGTTGCAATTAGCATATTCAACTTTAAAAAAATATGGGTAACCACCCTAAACAATACGGTTAACCGTAACCACACCAATTAACACCCCTAGCCCTATTCTCTTTTTCTTCACACAAGTATATATCTTTTAAACTACCATTATTTTCTCATTTATTATGAAATTGCTCAAAATACAACCAATTTTTTACGGTATTAGGAAATACAAAGGGTGCTTATGAATGAATTACAGGACTTGTTTATGCGTTTTTTTGTTGGGAAATGGGAATTTGGTTTTGAAGGAGAAAAGACAAATGGATGTGTCAAGAGAATAATTTTTTTTATAATGGATGGGTCAAGAGAGTTGATTAAATAAATAACAGAGAAAAGTGGTCAAGCTCACCTATAGAGAAAAGGTCAGGGATCAAAAGCATAAATAGAGAAAAGGTTAGGGATCGAGATGCAAAACATCGAAAATGGAAAAAATAATACATTGGGCGAAGTACATCCAGAGACACCCTCCTCTTTGCTGGCACCTCTCTTCCTCCATCATCATCGCTCTCTCTCTCTCTCTAATCTCCATCTTCCTTCCCTTTTTCCCATTCCGCATCTCCGTTTAACCCTAGAAACCATGGCCATGGCCTGAGAGAGGGAGAGAGCCGAGCTCGGTTTTGAAGCTCCATCTCTGACCTAATCCGTCGGATTGAATCTTCTTCGAAGAAGATTTAAAAAAAAGTAGAGAAAAGAGGAAGAGCGGGGGCGAGGAAACGATGCCGTCCCAAGCCGATCTGGACCGTCAGATCGAGCACCTGATGCAGTGCAAGCCGCTGTCCGAGGCGGAAGTGAAGGCGCTCTGCGAGCAGGCCAGGGCCGTGCTCGTCGAGGAATGGAACGTGCAGCCGGTCAAGTGTCCGGTGACGGTCTGCGGCGACATCCACGGCCAGTTCCACGATCTCGTCGAGCTCTTTCGAATCGGCGGGAACGCTCCCGACACGAACTACCTATTCATGGGCGACTATGTAGGTGAGTCGATATCAATTAAATTCTTTTATCAGTCCATAACAGCCTATGGAATTGGAAGGAAGTGGGGGGATGGAGATAGTGAGCCGGCAATTGAATGATTGATTCGAATTTCTGATGTACAGTGTCTATCTAGGAGGGTTCTCATTGTACTAGATAAGGGTAGGTGTAATTTGAACTGCCTTAGGAGCCGTGTCAATCAGGGCAGTGTGTGTTTAATCTGGTCCTAGAGGAATGACTTTATCCAAGTTCGGCACTTGCTAGTCGGTAATTTGTTATCACATATTCCATTCTCAACTTTCAAAGGGGAGGGTGATAAAATCTGACAGACCATATTGGCATTTTGCAATGCAAATTATAAATTACGGATGCCTATGTTGGGAGGTAGTAAAATCATGTGACAAGACTCAACCTTTAACAGCCTTGATGTTATCAATTGTCTGCTAGCAGGTTTGAGAAGCAATGCTTTCTTTTTACATCAATGTTAAACCCAAAATGCTGGCCTTCTGCTCATTTTTAAAGCAATAACTTTGTGTTTCTATACCTTATTATCTTGTACTTGATGGTCTATTTCTGTACTGGATTGTAGACCACGAATCAGCGTCAATATGTATTATGGTTGCTGGAAGATGTGTAAGAGACTGTGGCTATTATTTGGCAAGTTTTGTGGAGTGTAAGTTAAGCGCACAAATTCTTTTTGGGGAGCACGTGGTAAAGAGTGATAGGAAGTGGATTGCTTGGTTAACGAAGTTGACAAAATTGCATAATGAAAAGTTAAAGTGATGCTGAAAAACCGCGTTGCGACTTGATAGAACATGACAAGTAGGAAATCTACGGCTAAAAAAATCAGCAATTTTCAAGAGAGAAGTAGTCAGGCGTATGGATTCTTGATGACAGCAAACTCTGCTTGTTGTTACTAAACTGGGAAGTAATTGGTTAGCAGATAGGTAATTCATGCATCTCAGCTTCTAGCTTTGCTATGCATGTTATCTTTATTGATGTTTCTTGTGTTACTACTCCTATGATTTAATGTGCCATGTGGCCTTTGATTAGCAGCCTGTGCTACTGGCGCACGGCAACATTTTCCAAGTATTGTCATGTGGGTTTGAGTGCATAACCTTATCCTATGCACTCTGATCATGCTCAGAGGCCATGTTAATTACCACTTCACTCTTCCTTATGGCTTTCTGTTTCAATAGCTCCAATAGTTTGCAATTTATTTTCTTAACCAATGGTATTTTCTTGCGACTTTGTAGATCGAGGATATTATTCAGTGGAAACTGTTACTCTTTTAGTCGCATTGAAAGTCCGATATAGAGATAGGATTACAATTCTAAGAGGAAATCACGAAAGCCGTCAAATTACTCAAGTGTAAGATCTCTGATTATTTGCAAGACTCTTATTTTTGTTGATTCATTCACTCTTTCTATCTGTACTGTAAAGTTGTCCATAATATTGTCTCAGCTTTCGGTAATGGAATAGTGCAAGTACCTCTCTAGACTCTAAGTTGCCAACTTTTGCCACAAGATTATATAATATGCTTGCTTGAATAGAAATCTATGTATTGAATTTATGAGCATCCACTTAAACCTAATGATTATTTCCTTCATCTTCCAGATCTATTGCCTCGTTTCACCTTACCTATTATGGGTGTGTGTCTGTTATCAGATTACTAGAATGAAGGCGTTTTTTAGGGAATTTGTGCCCATCATCTTAAACGTATACTTTTAATGCACTGTTTCTAGCCAATTGTGTATTGTTTCTTTTCACCTTGCTATTATGGGTACGTGTCAATTATTATCTGAATTGTAAACTTTGTGTTGTTCCCGCTGATATCATGAGATTCTGGTATCTTTTTTCAGATATGGATTTTATGATGAGTGCTTAAGAAAATATGGAAATGCCAATGTGTGGAAACATTTTACTGATCTCTTTGATTATCTCCCACTCACGGCTCTGATTGAGAGTCAGGTTAGATAAGCTTACACTTTCTTCTGTCCCTATGTTTGTAATTGTTATATTATAATGCTTTATAACACACATCTATTGCTCTCTAGGTCTTCTGCTTGCATGGTGGGCTTTCCCCTTCACTTGACACTCTAGACAACATTCGCTCCCTCGATCGTATCCAAGAGGTAGACTGCTGTTAAATCATTCCCTTATCTTCAACCTTTTTTGTAGGGGTAGTTTGATATAGTGATGAAGTACAATCGATATGATAGACGTCATTCTGAATTTGGTGTTAATTGGTTGCTGCTTTGGGATATCTCTGGCTTATTTTAGGTACCACACGAGGGTCCTATGTGTGACCTCCTATGGTCCGACCCAGATGACCGATGTGGATGGGGCATTTCTCCTCGTGGTGCTGGGTACACCTTTGGACAGGACATCTCACAACAGTTCAACCACACCAACGGCCTCACTCTCATCTCTAGAGCTCACCAACTTGTCATGGAAGGTTACAATTGGGCCCAGGTGAGTACATTGGAAGTCAGGAATCTGGTCCAAGTTCTTACCTCTTCACTACCATAGTTCTGCTCCCTAATACACAATCTTGATTTCAAAACTTCAACAGGACAAGAACGTGGTGACGGTTTTCAGTGCCCCGAATTACTGCTACCGGTGTGGGAACATGGCGGCTATACTCGAGATTGGAGAGAACATGGAGCAGAACTTCCTGCAATTCGACCCAGCACCACGCCAGATTGAGCCGGAGACTACACGCAGAACTCCCGATTATTTTTTGTAATTTGCATAGCTGTCTTGTCTTCCTTCCTCCAAAATGGGATCTTCTGTTGTCAATTTTCTAATCAACCTGCCTGCCTATTATGTTTTTTGTAGATGCATCATCATACAGAATAGAGAAGGGAGTTTTGGGTGTTTACTTGGGAATTGGGGGGAACCTGGAGAAAAGATGTATTGTTGGGTGTTGTCATTCTTTCCTTTTGGCTATTGTTCTCAACTACTGCTACTGTTTTCTGCATTCATGAGAGTTAATAGGTTGTGTTTACTCGTTACTGTCTGTTTGGATGGTAACTTCTTCCACGTCAGTCTTGTATTTAAGAAAGTTAAAAAAAAAGCATCAACAATAACATGGTATTTTTCATCCCCTGGGTGATTTGGTTTTTGAAATGGTGAGAATTAGGGTATGTCCACAAAGTCATGTCGAACATATAAAAAATTAGAGGGTGTATCAGAACTGAATTGCTATTTATAGCCCTAACTTTTTCTTATTTGTAGCTCTAAGAGAATATGATTACTATTTTACCCTTTCTTCCTTTTAAAATATTGAACTTGTTACAACTCCAACCAAACACTCCCTTCCATCCCAATTCAACTGTCGCCGGATTCCTCCCAAATATTCTCGCCGGAGACGACGAGCTCTCGCCGGAGACGTGACTCGCCCCTTCTCTCTCGTCGCCGGTTTCCTCTCAAATATGACGACCACCTCTCCCCGGAGACGACGACCTCTCGCCGGAGACGAAATCAGAGCGCTTCGCGAAGGTAATTTTTAATTTTTGCACGAAGGAGGTGTTGACCGGCCGTTTGACCCGTCGCCGGCAAGGGCGACGTCCTGCCGAGGCGTCGCCGGCGACGCGTCAAACTGCTGTTCAGCGTCGCCGACGACGGACAAACGTCCGGCCAGGATTACTAACTTAGTTTCAAAATATAAAAAAATGAAATTCAAGAAATTCATTCTAAAAATAATATTATAGCAAATCCATCCTAAAAAATATGATAATTACAATATCATAAAATAATAAACTACAATAAAATCGCTAAATATTCTTCAAAGTCTAAATTATTGTTAGTAAACATTAACTTAGTTTCAAAATAATAAAAAATGAAGTTAAAGAACTTCATTCTACAAATAATATTATAAAAAATCCTACTAAAAATATGGTAATTACAATATTCATAAAATAATAAATTACAATAATAAAAACACTACATATTCTTAAAATATGGCAATTAAAAGTCTAAATTCAGGAAACATTAACTTAGTTTCGAAATATGAAAATTAAAATTCAATAACTTCATTTTAAAAATAATATTAGAACAAATTTTTCTAAACAATATGATAATTAAAACATTCATAAAATAATGAACTATAATAAAATCACTAAATGTTCTTAAAAATCTAAATTATTCATCAATCTATTATAAAAAATCTAAAATAATAACCGAAAAATCTAAATTAATATCTATTTAAAAAATCTAATATACTTCACAAATTTAAATTAACAGAAAGTTAAAAATAAAATAAAAAATCGGCGACGTCCCGGCAGGACGTTCGTCAGTCGTTGTCAGGTAATTTGCCGGCGTACCTCGTCGGAGAAAGGGACTGTCGTCGTCGGAAGGTGGCGGTCGCCGGCGGAGGTGGCGGTCGCCGACGGCGAGTATTGTAGGATTGTGTTTGGAAAAGTGTTTGAATGTTTTGGTCTTGGAATGTGTGAAGTAAATGTATTTAAATGTCATAGGTATTATTGTACGTTTTATAATTTAGGACTACAAATAAAAATAATTTAGGCTACAAATAGTATAGAAAAGTCTATCATATTACTAAAATTTTCACCGATTTATTGTTTACAAACCATCCTGGCATGGTTGTCATGCCGGTGGCATGCCACCCGGTTGAACCTGGTTCAACCTGTTCCGGTCATGAAACCGGCATGATACCACCGGTATGACCGGTATGATCGACTTACGCATTTTAAGTAAAATGATATCATTTTAATGAATTTAATGAATACAAAAATTAATTTATTATTCATTTTATGATGTAATAGTTAAAAGTTGATGATATTTATTGGATTGTAACTAAATTGTCCACAAATATGTTTTATATATGATTAAATACAATGGATATTAATTGTTTTCACATTTTTTTAAACCGGCATGAACCGGCACAAACTGGTTATACCACCGGTCGTACCATTCTACTTGTCAAACCGGCACAACGGTATAAACCGGTTTGACAACCTTGCATCCTGGTTAAAATGTTATTAACCCAGCTTAGCGCGTGACCCCTTCAAAAGAATCCCTATATTACTTACTCGGTCCCTCCAGTCAAAGAAAGGAAATTTTACCTCGTCTCTTGAATTCCCCATTGCTGGCCCGGCCCCGCCAATTCCCGTACGGCTCTCCGCTATTCTCATCGTCGACGGCAGCAACACTGCGCCACGGCCGCTGCCGGTTCCGACTCAGTTTCTCCTCCCCAGCAGCCCACTGCCTCGCGCCTCTTGAGTCTACTCCGCCCCTGCTGCTGAGGTAAAAAAAAAAACTCCAACTTCTGATATTGAATTGATTATTGGGGCGTGTGTGATCAAGGATTCTGATTTGTGAACCCTAGTTTAGTTAAAAGTGAATTGCTTTGATGTTAATTAGCAATATGTGCATTTGAAAAAAATGTAGGTTTCAGTTCGACAATGGAAAAATATTTCAGTAAAGAGGTCACTAGTGAATCAAGAGCAAGTAGTAAACATGATCATAGTTCAACCCAGTGCCTGCCTAGTCAAACTGGGGAATGTGAGATTGATGTGAACTCTTTGGAAGATGGTTTTGGTGATCCTAGCGACATGGATCTTGGTGCTGGTTTGATATCTTCGACTGGGAAAGACGAGCTGGATGTTCATATTCGTGGTATTAGTAGTAGTGCGCACAATGTAGAACGTGAGGATTTGATGAAGCAGTCGGAAAATGTTGAAGTTGTCAGGGGAGGACCATCAGATCAAACGAAGAGAGATTACAGGGCTGCCTTGGAGACTGCAATAGATTGCATGAAACTGATGATACGCCAAGGATGGATATTTCATGAACCAGATGAGTATTCGAGCAAGGACGGTCTGTTTCTTGAGCTTCTGAAGTTCACTGCTTCTTTTTCTGGTAGAGAAGATTTGGAAAGCATCGTGTCGGGTCATCCTCCGAAAATTCTCCAAATTACTTCTCCGGATTTAGAAAAAGACATTGTCCGTGCAATAGTGGCTGAGATAACCCTGGATATAATTGGACATCTTGGAGATGATTTTTTTGCCATTTTCGTGGATGAGGCTTTTGATGTGGAGGGAGAAGAGCATATGGCTGTTATTTTACGATATGTGGATCAAGAAGGATCTGTTGAGGAGCGCCTTCTCGGTATTTCTCGTGTTCCGGATTCTAAAGCTTTGACATTTAAAATGGCAATCGAGTCGATGCTTGTACAACATGGGTTGAGCATGTCAAGGTTAAGGGGGCTCAGTTATAATGGAGCTAGCAACGTGAATGGAGAAATCAATGGACTCAAGAATTTGATTTTAGCAGAAAATCCATCTGCTCATTATGTTCACTGTTCTACCCATCAACTTGACTCAACGGTGGTTTCTACTGCTAAACATCACGTTGATGTTTATATTTTCTTTATAACTGTCACTCGCTTGATTAATTTAGTGGAAGCATATTGTCAAGGAAGTAACAACAGTCAATATGCCAAGCTTGCAAAGGCTTTATTTCACGATGAGCCAAAGATTGGACGAGGGTCGTATCACGAACTTGGTCACGTAAAGGCTAGTAATACTTATTGGCAGTCACACTTCAAGAAACTTGTTGTCTTGGATGTGATGTTCTCGGACGTGATTAATGTGTTGGAGGCCATTGAAGATGAGAAACGTTACGGAGTAAGCGGTGAAGCATTTACTCTGTTGAGATTACTTGAAAATTTTGAGTTCGTCTTCTTCTTGAAAATGATGATTAGAGTATTATCGATCACAAATGCATTGTCTAATGCATTAGAAATGAAAGATCAACAGATACTAAATGCCATGCAACTTGTTGATGTGGCGAGGTATCAATTACAAGAGGCGAGGGAGAAAGGATGGGATTCTTTTCTTGATGAAGTGTTATCTTTCTGCGAGAAGCAATGTCTTGATCTTCCTAATATGGAAGATCTTCGTCCCAAGAGGTTTAAGGCTCCACAAATCACTAATTTGCATTACTACCAAGTTGAGTTGTTTTATACCGTTCTGGATCTGCAACTGGAAGTGTTTAATAGTACGTTCGATGGGGTGACTACAGGATTGTTGAACTGTGTTGCTTGCTTAGTTCCAGATGATTCCTTCAAAGGCTTCAACAAGCAAATGGTGGCGAAGCTTGCTACATATTATCCTAATGAGTTCTCTGACGCGGACATCATATCTCTGGACAGTCAATTGGATGCTTATATACAAGATATGCAGCTTGATGCTAGATTCAGTAACTTGAAAGGAATTGAGGAGCTTTCTCGGAAAATGGTGATGACAAAGAAGCATACTATGTACCCGCTAGTTTACCTACTTGTGAAACTAGCTTTGATCTTACCAGTAGTAGCAACAAGGGCAGGTGCTGAAAAAACTTTCACTGAGATGATATTCATGAAGGAGGAGCTTCAAAATCGAATTTGCGATGAGTCGATGAATGACTATCTGATGGCATATATAGAGAGAGATGCAGTTCGACATTTTGATAAGGGATGTATTTTAGAATATTTGTAGAACAGTTTCATCTATCAATTAGATGCTATTTTGTGTAGAACAGTTTCATCTATCAATTAGATGCTATTTTGGGTTGGAATTTACTTTATACATATTTCGCAATTTATCTCATTTGCATTAAAACCATTGTGTTTGTTCTGGAGGCTAAGACTTGTTCTGCTTACAGCTGCCCTGACTCTTAACCAGCACATTAGAATGAAGATGATATGGAAAATTTGTTATGTTCCACTCCATGAAAAGTTCATCTATGAGTTCTCTGGCATTCCCTCGAAATCTACAACAGTTTCGCAGATTTAAACTTGGGTTTTGCTTCTGCAGTACAATCTAAAGGTCACAAGACTCGTAACAAGATGCTGGGCTCTTGTTCTCGCGTTATCTGATTGTAGAGAAAGAATGCCAATTTAGCTTGAAATGGTCTTTGCAGGAGATTTGTGTTGAGCATGATGTAGATTTGTCAATTTATATGTACCAGAATCATGCAGAGATCAGTAAGGCAAGTAGTTAATCAACCTTCTGATCTCTTTTTCCAGGTCACTAGCTACTTCAGAACCTCTGCATCTTTTCCTCCTCTCTTCCCTACATTCCCCGACAAAATACCAAGTTGTGCATTTCCTAGCTAAGCATCTGGAAAATCAAACTGAATCTGAAACTAAAGATGGGTTGTCACTTGTCAGTCAAGTTCAGGGAGCCATCCTCAAAGTTCTTTCTCATTTCTGCTAGTTTGCACCCATCCACAGAGAGTATGAACTAAGATGTCTGCCAGCTTCATTTCTCCTTTCGTCTCACATCAAACGTAGCTTCCATTCGAGGTGACCTCAATGCTTGTCCTAGCCGCCTAATTTCGGCACGTGTAATGCGAATTCCTCCACCTGAGACTGAAGCTTTGATGATCAAAAGTTGCAACCACAAGTCCACAACACATGCTCAACCGCCAACAGGAGACTCAGAGACCAAGCCAGGTTTCCGTCAAAAACCACAAACCTGAAAAAAAATTCGTGGACGGCAGGATTCGAACCTGCGCGGGCAAAGCCCACATGATTTCTAGTCATGCCCGATAACCACTCCGGCACGTCCACAATTATTGATTAATTTTATCAATTCTAATATTATTTAATTGATAGCATCTTGACAAAGCTATTCAAGTTTTCTCCTTGTCTCTGGCTCTCACCCAGATGATATCCATCGTCCATTCGCCCCTCAAGCGGGTTTAATTTACGTTATTTTCTCCTCCTTGTATGGTTTGTTTCGAACAATTGTAGGAAATACGAAACTCTTATAGATGGGAGTATTTGTGCTCAAATCCAACGAAGCCCGGCACATTTGCTGCGACCTCCTCGTGATATAGTTTCCCTGTCAGCTCCTCCTTCGCTCTGATTCTTCTCTGAATTCTCGAAACGCCATTGTTGCTCTGCCGTTGAGCGGAGAGCTAGGTGTCTTTGGTTGAGTGTTCAAACATGAAGGAAGAGAGAGTAGTGAATACTGTTGATTTGTATGTCATTGGCAGCTGCAAGCTAGCTTGTAGATAGTTATCTTTTTCCCCAGGGGGTTCTTCACTCTTCTTGCCCTTGGCTGCTACGCAGGCAGAAACAGAACCCTCCTCTTTGTAATTGTATTTTGTACCACATCGTCTGGGCAGAGTTGTGCAACCAAGTGAGTGTGATATAAAAAGCGAAGCCCTGGCAGCTGTTCAAATCATACCTTTCTCGGCCTTTTGGCTAAGATCAAGTGTAGTATCTGTTCTTATCAGTTTAATATCTGATACGTGGGCCAATGGCCCACACGATATTAAATTTATTTTTCTAGGGGGAGAAGGTCCACTACTCGAGCTTGCTCCAGGGGCCTTCTCGCGCGTCGCCCATGCGTTGCACTATTGCACGGGCCTGGCTCACCCCACCAATTTTAGTTCAACCCTTGTGTGATTGGGCCTCATTTTGGGCTTACTAGATATGCTTGCATCCTTGTACTTGCTACTCTTAAGTCTTTAGCAATGTGTGCTGTAGTCTCTACTCTGTAGTGTAACCATGCACTTGGAAACTTATTTTGAGTGGAGGGATAGAAGAATTCTTATTTTTTCTTTTAATACGCTCTAAAATCTAATTAACACTAACCAAATAAGTCTAAATTCTATTAACCAAACCGTCTAAACTAATACAATAAACTAATACAACGACTAATTTCAACAACAAAATTAACGACAACTAATACAACAACAAATACAACAACAAAATTAACGACAACTAATACAACAACAAAATTAACGAAACCAAAGTTTAATCGATTTGGTTAATTGGTTAACCAAAATAACATTACATTATCATTAAGTGAGAAATAGAATAACACATAATTATAGCTAATCCTTAACATAAACACACGTAACAAGTACAATTATCTTACATTTGACTCTTGAGTGGTTATGCTGCAAAGTATTAAGTATGTGGATAATATATATTAGATATATGGCTAATTACTTAACTGCTTAATTTGGTTTGATTGGTTAGGAGTTTATGAAACCAAACCAAACCATCTATAAATCAAACAAAGCTAAAAAAAACTTAACCAATTATCCAAATTAACTAAATCAAATTATCCAAATACTATCGGTTAAAACGGTTACCACGGTAACCATCACCCCGTTTGAACACCCCTAAATGTAATGTGTTGAAAGCAAGTTGGATTTTTTTGGTTATGCATATGGATGTTATTTAAGTGTCGTGAATTTAATTGTTTCTTAATGTTAACATTGTTGATGCCCAATTTCGTTTTGATGGATATTTTTTTATTAGACTTTTCATGGAGATTAAAAAGCTGGTTTAACAAAGAGAGACATAGGGTTTGGGCAATATATACACACTTTGGCAGAGGAAACTTCGGGTTCCCTATTTGTTTCCCGAGGCGAGTACTGCTGACCGCCATCCCCTCTCTCATTCCCATTTCCCGCCCCTTTTGTTTGTTGTTCTTTCTTTTCCCTCCATTAGCATCTTCCGAGCCCTAGGTCCGCCAGTAGCCGCGTCTCCGCCATTTCCTCGTTGCTAGCCCGCCGCCGGCGCCTTGTCTGGCTTTCCGCTCTTCTCCCCCCACAGCCGCAGAAACTGCCGCTTAGGTAAAGCATTCGAGCTTTCAAGCTTCTAGTTAATGGCTGACTAATGTTATGCAGCATCGACTTAATCTACATTTGTTTGCTTTAACTTCAATGTGTGGTTTAAGTTAGTTGGTTTGGTGAATAGGTGTTAATTAGCATGTGCATTTGAATATGTAGACTCAGACATCAGCTATGGATGAAAAAGTCAGTGAAAAGTTCGGCTCCAATCCAGAACTTCCCGCTCGTGAAGTTAGTGAACCAAGTGCAAGTAAGCATGGTTCTAGTTCGACCCAATGGTCGACTAATCAAATCGTCGAGCCTTCCGATTCTTCGCCCTTACCTATGGAATCTGACACGGATGTGAATTCCATTGAAGATGATCCGGGAACAAGACAAGCGATATCGTGTTTTGATCACGATGTTCGGAATGCAGTGAGAAGAGGGTATCTTGAACGGGGTCCCTGTCAGCCCCGGCATCTTTGGTTCTTCCCCACCAGAGAACGATTTGCGGAATAATAAGAACACTCGATTTACGCGGTATCCCCGAGTATCGGGACTAGTCCACGGGAGAGTTTAACTCTCCGGGTTTTCTCTTTATTCGATTATGGTATAATGGCCGGCGGCCTTACATCACTTATATACCCTTCTCTACGTTCAGCTAGGGTATTACAACTAGGAGAAGGAGAAGGCTTCCTTGTACAATAAGGAATAGGAATTTCTATCTCTCCTATGACAACCGAATCACTAACTCCCTTTACTTGGACCTTAGCCGAGATAGGCTGCTGCTGCTGCGGACTGCTCGTAGCTCGTGGACTTTGGGCCACGTCCATTACTCCCCCGCAAGCTGTGGCGTGGAGATTACGAACGCGCAGCTTGGAAAGTAGGAAATGGAACCTCTCAGCACCAAGCCCTTTGGTAAACATATCCGCAAGTTGACAGTGCGAGCTAATCTTCGTCGGTGCAATGTCACCAGACTGAACACGCTCTCGTACGAAGTAGCAGTCCATCTCGACATGCTTAGTCCGCTCGTGAAGCACGGGATTAGCAGCTATATGAAGTGCAGCTTGATTATCACAGTAAAGAGTGGTCGGTCCACGTTGTGCGGCACCCAACTCCTGGAGTAACCATCGTAACCAAAGGATCTCACTGACTGTGCTGGCCATGGCACGATACTCTGCCTCCGCAGAAGAACGAGCAACCACTTGCTGTTTCTTCGTTCGCCAAGAAATGGGGGCTCCCCCAAGGGTGACAACATATCCTGTAGTTGACCGTCGGGTGGACTGGCAACCACCCCAATCTGCATCACAATAACCTGTGAGCTCAAGAGAATTATCAGAAGGAAAGAAAAGACCTTGTCCGGGAGCACTCTTGAGGTACCGGAGTATCCTCTGCGCGGCATCCATATGAGCATGTGAAGGCGCATGCACGAACTGACTGAGTATGTTAACCCCATAGGCGATATCCGGTCGAGTAACTGTAAGGTAAAGAAGTCGTCCAACCAAACGACGATACGCTGCTGGATTAGGGTGATCAGCCGATGCGGGATGAGTGAGACGATGGTTCTGTTCAACGGGGAATGCACTGGGACGACTACCCAATACGCCAGCGCAAGTATGTACTGGACATTTTGGAGGACGCTGGCGTATTGGGTAGTCGTCCCAGTGCATTCCCCGTTGAACAGAACCATCGTCTCACCCATCCCTGTCTCCTGATCCTCGTCCACGGCTGCCGCGGGTCTCACTGCTAGCCTTATCTCCATCTTCTCGGGCGGCAAAGGCAGCAGCCTCTGGAGTTGGTTTTCGGTTTTGAGTGAGAACCCTCTGTTGCTCATCATTAAATACAATGCGGAAGGCTTCAGGGAGGGAAGGCGTGGCCGACATAGACAAAATTTGGCTGCGGACGGTGGCAAAGGACTCGTCCAGCCCAAGTAGGAAGTCCAACAATCGTAAGCTTTCGTTTTGGTCACGACTCCTTCGACCACATGAGCAGATAGGTGGCGGAAGGATGGATTGGGTTTCGTCCCACACCTTTCGCAGCTGAGTATAGAAGCTGGAAACCGACTGTTTTTCTTGTTGTAATAGGCTCACATGACGTCGCAGCTCGTAGGCGCGCGTCAAATTTCCTTTGCTAAAACGCGCACGAAGATCCTCCCAGATCTCTTGAGCAGTTTTAGCGTGCATAACGCTACTGCGTAACTCCGCATCCATGGCTGTTCGCAGCCAGCCCTTGACGAGTGCATCGCAACGCATCCAGGCAAGGGATTGTGCCGATCCTTCTTCTGGTCGGACAATGGAGCTATCCACAAAACCGATTTTGTTCTTGGTGACGAGAGCATCCGTCATCTCAAGAACCCATTCGGCGTAGTTAGAGGACGTGAGCAAGCTGCTCACATGAAGGTGACCTGTGCTGTCACTCTGATGGATGAAGAAAGGATTTGTGACATCAATATCACGATTTCCTTGGCCATTGTTGCCACTGCTGCCGCCGGAAAGCTTGGATTCAGGTGTGCCTGAAGGAGACGAGTCCTCCCCAGACATATCGAACTTGCAATAGGATCAATGCTCTGATACCATAATAGATTTGTATGAACGATTTGCGGAATAATAAGAACACTCGATTTACGCGGTATCCCCGAGTATCGGGACTAGTCCACGGGAGAGTTTAACTCTCCGGGTTTTCTCTTTATTCGATTATGGTATAATGGCCGGCGGCCTTACATCACTTATATACCCTTCTCTACGTTCAGCTAGGGTATTACAACTAGGAGAAGGAGAAGGCTTCCTTGTACAATAAGGAATAGGAATTTCTATCTCTCCTATGACAACCGAATCACTAACTCCCTTTACTTGGACCTTAGCCGAGATAGGCTGCTGCTGCTGCGGACTGCTCGTAGCTCGTGGACTTTGGGCCACGTCCATTAGAGACATTGGTGGAACGAAGCGAAAATTCGATCCTTCTTGGTTTGGTGAGTATTGGTGGGTGGAATACAGCGTTGAGAAAGATGCAGTCTATTGCTTGCCTTGCTACTTGTTCGGACACGATGCTGGTAAGAGGGGTCTTGGTACTGGTTTCGTATCTTTCAATAGGAAAGAGGAGCTGGATGGTCATACCGGTGGTGTACTTAGCGTGCACAATGTCGCTTTGAGGAAATGTGAGGATTTGATGAAGGGGTGTCAGAATGGTGAAGTTTATATGGGTGAACAATCAGATCAGATGAAGAGAGATTACAGGATTGCCTTGGATGCTTTAATTGATTGCATCAAATTCATGATAGACATGGAATGGATATTCCTACAACGTGATGGATTAGAGTTTTCAGACATTCCAAGTCTTTCTTCTGACCTCCTGAGAGTATATGCTTTAAATGCAGAAGATATGGAAGGCATCGAGTTGGGTGATGATCTTCAAATGATTTCTCCGGATATAGAAAAAGATATTATCCATGCAATATCAGCTGAAATAACCTTGGATATAATTGGGCATCTCGGAGATGACTTTTTTTCCATTTTTGTGGATGAGGCTGTTGATATGTCAGGTGAAGTGAATATGGCTATGATTCTGCGGTATGTAGATCAGGAAGGCTTTGTCGAGGAGAGATTTCTTGGTATTTCTCGTGTTGCGTGTTTTAAAGCTTCGATATTTAAAACAGCAATTGAATCGATGCTTATACAACATGGATTGAGCTTGTCAAATATGAGGGGGCAAAGTTACAATGGAGCTAGCAACATGACTAGAGTGATCAATGACCTAAAAAATTTGATTTTAGCAGAGAATCCATCTGCTTATTATGTACACTGTTCTACCCATCAACTTGAGCTGACAGTTGTTGGTACTGCTAGAAATCAAATCTATGTTAATGTATTCTTCTCAATCGTCACTGAGTTGATTCATCTACTTGAAGCATCTTGTAAAGGAAGTGACAACAGTCAGTTTGCCAAGCTTGCAAAGGCTTTATTTCAGGATGAGCCAAAGACTGAAGGAGGATTGGATCAAGGAATTGCTCTTGAAATGATTAGTGATACTGATACTTATCGGTGGCCATGTCTCTTTTTCATGAAGCATTGGCGGTCACCTTTGAAGACACTTGCTATATTGGATGTGATGTTTTATGATGTGATTGATGTTTTGAATGACATTGCAGATGAGCAATATTCTGAAACAAAAGGTGTAGCGTATGGGCTGTTGATATCAATTCAAAAGTTTGATTTTGTCTTCATCTTGAAAATGATGATTAGGATATTGTCGATCACAAATGTTTTGTCTGATGTATTGCAAATGAAAGATCAGCAGATTCTTCACGCCATGCACCTTGTTCCCGAGGCAAGGTATAGGTTACAAGATATGCGGGAGAAAGAATGGGGGTCGTTACTTGATGAAGTGTTTTCTTTCTGCAAGAAGGAATATATTGATATTCCTAATATGGATGGTCTGTATGTTTTGCCTGGAAGAACTAGGCGAAATGCTCCACCAATCACTAATTTGCAGCACTACCAAGTTGAGCTGTTTTATACCGTTATCGATATGCTATTGCAAGAGCTTAATAGTCGGTTTGATGCAGTGAATATGGAACTGTTGAGTTCTGTTGCTTGCCTAGTTCCAGATGATTCATTTAAAGGCTTCAACAAGCAAATGGTGTCGAAGCTGGCGACATTTTACCCTACTGAGTTCTCGGAGGCTGATGTTGTATCTCTTGACAGTCAATTGGATGCTTATATTCAAGAAATGCATCTTGATGATAGATTCAGAGAACTAAAAGGAATTGAGGAGCTTTCAGTGAAAATGGTGGCTATTGACATGCATATGAAGTACCCTCTCGTTTACTTACTTGTGAAACTAGCTTTGATCTTGCCGGTTGCAGCAACAAGGGCCGGTACTGAAAAAACTCTTACCGCGATGATTTATATAAAGGAGAGGCTTCTGAGTCGCATTGGGGACGAGTCGATGGATGATAATTTTATGGCATACATCGAGAGGGATGTAGTTGAACATATCGACAATGAATGTATTTTAGAATATATGTAGAGCAATATCCTGAGTTAATTGATTAAATGCTATTATGTTTTAGATTATCCTTCAATATGATTTTCTGCAATTTACTCCCGTTTTGGATGAAAATCACTGCGTTTGTTCTCGAGACTAAGACAGGGGGCACTAGCTTTCGCTTACAGCTCCCTGGTAATTCACCAGCACATCCGGAGGAATGAGATGATTTGGGAAATTATTATGTTCTTCCTTAGTGTTATGATGATATGAATTCCATGGCACAGACAGATTATGTCACAGAAATCTGCAACAGTGCTGCAAACTTGGTTTCTGCTTGTGCAGCACCAATCTGAAGGTCATAAGAAGATGTCAGAGCTTCTTTTCCTTTCATCTGATCGTCGAGAAAGAATGTTTAAGTTATGCTGAAATGGTCTTGCTGGGGATTTGTGTTGAGCCAGTTCTTTAAGAGTTCCCACTTGTTAGTCTTTGTTTGATCATATAATGCCGCTACCTTCTCAGTGTACGAATGTTGCTACCTTGTGATGTAGGAGGTAGACCCCTGTCCAAGTGGTTTGTGATGGAGCTAGTGTGCTGCTTGGCGAAAAGAGCAGCAATGAGCAAGCCTGTGATCTCGCCTTTGGTTGTTGGGCAATCATCTTTGTACCTGGAGCCGATAAAGCAATGCAGCATTTTGTTCTCCGAGCTGCCAGTTTTCTTGGGTGAAGTGATGATGTTGGCGAAGATCTCAGCGAGCTTCTTGCAAACAAGGTCACCGTGGAGGCGAGTAAGGGTTGGGAGGTACGGGAATAGAGCACTGGTTGGCTGGAATCTGCAGTTTGCTCTCCTTCTACAGCTACATCCATCGTGTTTCCTCTAAGTGCCGGCCTTATGCAGCATTGAAATTTGAAACATTAATGATGAATGACTGCAGTAGGGGCTTATTTAGCTTTCATGGGAAGGCAGTGAGTGATTTGCTACTCCTATGATCCTATCCCGGCCCCGCTAGATCTAGAATAAGATTGCTTGACTCGAGTCCTTGAAGTCTGATGGAGCTAAAGATGGGAGCATGAACTGTGTTGGAGCTGCAGTTGTTTGTTGAATTAAGGAAAGCAGTCCCATGGCTTTATTGGTTAAGGCTACTGCTGTACTGCTACTAGTGAAAAAGCCACTTTATACCACATCGTCTGGGCAGAGTTGTGCAACCAAGTGAGTGTGATATAAAAAGCGAAGCCCTGGCAGCTGTTCAAATCATACCTTTCTCGGCCTTTTGGCTAAGATCAAGTGTAGTATCTGTTCTTATCAGTTTAATATCTGATACGTGGGCCAATGGCCCACACGATATTAAATTAATTTTTCTAGGGGGAGAGGCCCACTACTGAAGCTTGCTTCAGGGGCCTTCTCGCGCGTCGCCCATGCGTTGCACTACTGCACGGGCCTGGCGCACCCCACCAATATGAGTTCATATGTTATTTCTCTTTGGGGCTTGGATCTATTTGCTTGGGCCTTTTGCCTATGCTCATGTGTCTCTGATATATCTCATTTGGGCCTCTTTGCACATCAACTCGTCGTGTATTGTAGCAGGAGAATAACAATCTCTGCATATTACGATCTCGTTTAAAATCGAGCTACATGGGATTGGGACAATGTCTTATTTGACTAGGTTGTATTGTGCCTCATAATCGTGTCTTTCCAATTCTAGTGGAATTGGTTTTCTAGTGCTTGCACTTCTCGGCATTAAAGTTACTCTACTGGAAGCAGGGATGAGCAAAACAATCGACCTATCCGTCGAACCCGATCGAACCCACCCTATTTATCGTTAAAGGTTAGGTGAGGGTTTTCGTTTGTCCAACCCGCCTCTATTGGGTTGGGTCCGAATTTTGGTAACGCAACCTGTAGAACCCAACCCGTGTTGAACTATTGTCATAAGTGTTCGTAAGCAACACATATTTGTACCGTAAATAAACATATTTGTGAGAAAATTAAGCTATCTTATCATATTTTTTCTCTCTTGTGGTTTCTCTAGCCTAATACATTCTTCAACTTAATATTTAGGTGTAGATTTAATATATGCTATGATTCACATAATCTTTTTTCTTGTATGTACTATTTTAGAATAACAATATTTAGGTGTCATAGCTTATTTTGACAAAAATTTACGAAACAAACTAGACATATGTTGGAAGTAAATTGTATTTCACTAAAATTCAAACAATTTTTATGCATATTGTAACTTTTCGCCTCGATCATATTGTAACTTTTCGCCTCGATTTATTTGTTTACAATCTTAATTGATTATATAATATTTTTGTAGTTAGAATAGTTGATTTTTTGTGTTGGGTTGGATATTTAATTAAAAGTATCTTCAACCCGACCCACCCCTTTTTTTTTTTGGATTGAACATTTTCAAAAGCATAGTATATGGAAAAGGTGATTAAAATGATTAAACCCGAACCACCCGACCCATGTACACTCCTAACTGGAAGTGACTTAAGGCAAGGCTAAAGTATGGTTCAATATATGGGTTGAAGACCAAGAAATGTTGACGGCTAGGGTGATAATTGGTGCGGGTTTGAGGTATACGTCTCACAATATACGTAATGATAATGTAACGTTTTAACTAATTCGTGATTTTAAAACTGATCAAAATATCGTAACCATATCATTAATGATCTAAATATGAGTTATATTGTATATGAGGGACGAGAATGTTACAAGTTGCAAATAGCGAATCTATTGGTGATGGGAGGGAGGAAGAAATTTCTGCACCCACACCCTTCTCCCTTCTCATTTTTTCTCGTCCCCTTCCTTGCTCTTAATACCAACACCATCAACTAAACTCTTCCCAAAACTTTCCCCCTAAATCTGAACCACAATAAGGGAGATCGAGAGTTAGGAAATAGGAAGTAAGGGTTACTAGAAGAAGAAAGCAAGGTATGGTTTCCTTTCTTCCCTTCTTTCTTTTCCCATCTCACTTCTTGAATTAGTTGGGAGGAAATGGAAAGGTAAGGGGGGTTTAAAACCTTGAGAACTATGCCTAATGATGATGATTTTGTTGACGAATCTAGAGGTGTGGAAAAGGATTATGACCATAATTGAAATAAAAATGAGGTATACATGTTAAGAAAATTATGAGAATTTGCTTAGTAGACGGGATTTATCATAGTAGTATCGATATTGTTAATAGATTAGAATTTGCTTATTGAGTGATGTCTCATCCCGTCAATATTTTTCCCGGATTAATAGCTAAATGAGTGAAGGACACGGGACGAAGCGAGTTCGAGCTTGATATCAACGAGGTGGGCGGAAGGATGAACTCTCCACATGGTTTCTATTGGATACTTTGAAACATGAGTTTGATATTCGACTTTTGTGATGGAGAATAAAGAGACAAAAACTTTTGTTTTAGAAAAGGCAAAATACACTTGTATAGCCATAACTTTCACATTTGTGACAAATATAGCCATAATTATTCGAAAACCAAAAATAGCCAATTCCGTCCATCCCTTTAACGGTGTTATATAACGGTATGATTGGACTAACAAAAAATGCTGAGTTGGCAATATTTTGTCAATAGGTGGAATTAACTGAAACAAAAACAAAAATAAAAAGAAATTAATTAAAAAATTTTATTTTCTCTCCCCTCTCTCCTTTCCTCTTCTGCTGCGAATAATGCCTCCCCTCTCTCCATTCCCTAATCCAACATTCAAAACCAAAATCCCAAATCTCCAGATATAGAAAACTCCTCCTCAATCCCTTTTTCACCACTGCATCCTCTTCTTCTCTTTCTCCACAGACAACGATCTATCAGTCCACTCCCATCTCCTAGCTACAGTACCCGCCGGCTGGTTCCCGCCGCTCCGAACCGAGCCCTGTCGCCACCGGTGCTTCCAATTTCGCAACAAGTTCCTTCCTTCCTCAATGGACCACAAAGAACGCGAGCCAAAGAAACAGCAAGATGATATTCAATCGCCACCGCCGGGGATGGAGGAGGAAGAAGAAGGCGAAGATCACTATGAAATAGAGTCGCCACCACCGCAACAGGAGACCGATTCGATTCAGCAGTACCAATTGGAAACGCAGAAATTTAGGTCTTAATGCGCTTGCAACTCGCTGGGTATTGCGACTAATCTGAGCGGTGGAAGCAAATTGGTTTTTCCTGTTGCTTTCTATCTTTGATTAGAATGATTGTTTGTTCCTTATAGGCTCAGTTCCTGTAGAGAATCGATGCAAATTCTCCTGATTTGGCTTTGTTGCAAATTTAGATGTGACCCAATTTCTCAATTAGTATATTTGCATGGTATAATTGGATTGCGCCAGGGAATTACTAGAAAAGTTTATGGCTTTCATTTGTTACTACTTTTGAGTTTCATTTCTAGGGTTAGCTCATCTGAAGTGCCTTCGCTTCTCTTCTGCAGTGCAGATGCTGTCCGTTAAGCGCCTTTAACCCTTTTGGGTGATGATCAAAACCTGACGTTCGAGAACTCTGATAGTGTGTGCTTGTTCTTTTGTTCCTGTTCCAGAGACTACTCCGCCGCTCTTCTACTCTCTCGCTCTGGCGATTTTTGAGCTTCCTCCCACAAGAACCCTACAGTCACTGGGTTTCTCCTTCCTGTGGAAGAAGACAGGCGGGGTATGGTGGAGTACGCCAGAGCTTTGGAGGCCACCGCTGACGAAGCGGCGGATCTAACAGCGTTCAGGAGAGCGGAGAATATAGGGGAAGAAGAAGGCTGGTGGAGAAGTTGCAGCTGTCGCCGCCGCTGGGAAACGTGGATTGGGAAGACGATTGTTGCTGGGAAAGAGATTTTGGAGAGCTTCTTTTGGGGTTATTTGCTGAATCAATTTAATGGGCAACTGGCTCCTCCTCAAGGGATTCAAACAGAAGAGGTAGGAGAATGGAAAGAAGAAAAGAAAGGGAAATGGATTCTGTTGGTGGGATTTGAGTTTTCTTCAATTGGATTCTGTTGGTAGTAGATCAGAGAAAGGATAGGAAAGAAGAAGAAAAAAAGGGCAGTGGTTAGGGGGCAGGGAAGGGGAAAATTAAAATTTTATTTATTTTTTAATTAATTAATTTTATAATTCAAAATGACATGGCAATGATTTGATGACTGGTCGCTGACGTGTCCGACGATTTGGCATCCTAGTCAGCCAAATGTTAATATAACGGACGGAGTTTCTAACACCGTTAAAGTTTCTAACGGATTTGGTTAGATTTGTCACACCACCCTCAGTTTTTTGGACTATTTTTGGTTTTCGAATAATTATGGCTATATTTGTCACAAACGTGAAAGTTATGGCTATACAGGTGTATTTTTCCTTTAGAAAATGCAAATTAATCCCGCATGACCAAGGTTGACAACCCGCGGGTCGACCCACTTTGACCATGGCTCGGTGAGAAAAACGGGACGCACGCACTCGCCGGATCAATCGGTACAAGGTACCGGGTTGGAGGTTAGATTGTGTCATTTTTTTGGTTTGCGAAATGCGCCTATTTTCCGATTTTTCTTTTCGCCTAACTCAATTTTTGGAATCCTAAGTTGGACATTTGAATATTGATGTTATATAAGTGTGTGTGAATTTTCACTATATGTTATATCTAAGTACGACATGTTATTTTTGTGTAATATAATATGTTATTACTCATATGTTAGATGAGATTTGATATAATTTATCAGGACAACGACAATATAATGAATATTTTCATATTTCCGAGCTAAATCAGGTGACCCATTAACCCATGACCCACTAACTCGATCGTGTCCGAGTCAACCTGCAAGTTGACAACCTTACGCATGACACAAGCTATAATTTCCCATTTTGGCAGTGAGTTATTTTAGCTCTTTACGGAATTCGTCCTTGCTCCATTCATTATAAAATATTACCAATAAGTATGGTGAACTCAAAGGTAAGGAATTTTTTGTTATATTATTAATTGGTCATAGTGGGTTAATCATTGTGGTTGATGGTTAACCACACAGTTGAAGATTTTGTTAACCACCCCCAACCCATTACCCATTAATTGTGTATGTGATTGTCCACAATACAATACGTATGTTCGAGTTATCCACAAATCGTAAACTAAACTTTCACTTCTAATGACTGCAAGTACTCACCCCCGAATTCAGAAGTCTTCCTCACGATTAAAATTCCGAATGAAAGTTCCTTGAAATCTTTGACGAACTAAAAGAGAAGAACTAACATTATTAAAGCCATCGAGGTTGGAAAAAACTAGTTTTGATATTTTTTTTTTGGGCTAATACCACTGGGAAACTCGAACTATTAACTTTGTGTCATTTGTGTCCTAAAGTATTCGATATGACAATTGTGTCACAATGTATGATAGTTGTGTGTCATTTATGTCCTGACAATTTCGTTGACCGTTATAGATAACGGTTGACCAAACGGAAGTCAACATTAACATTGACTTTTGTTGACGTGGCAGCCACGTAGATGCCACGTCAACGACACCTCATATTTTTAATTAAAAATTAAATAAAAAATAATATATTGTTATAAAAATTAAAAAAAATGTAAACTCAATTGATTAATATTATTCTAAAAATTAAAATAAAAAACAAGTAAAGGAAATCCCTAATCCACCGGCCTCCCCCCTTCCCCAAATGCAGTCCCTCTTTCTTCTTCTTCTAGCCATCTAGGGAAATCAAATCTGATCCCTCTTCCCATCTCATCGCTACCTTCCTCAACACATCTCCGTCTTCCTCGGTCCCCTCTTCCTCTCATCTTCTAGCCATCTGGGGAAATAGAATCCCTCGTCCCATCTTGATGGCGTCTAAACCCAGCCTCCTGTTCCGCGCTCTGCGCAGCCAATTCACCGGCCCAACCGCGGCGGCGACCACCGTCCACTGTAGCCTTCTTAGGAAGAAGCTGCAAACCAGAGCTCATCACTACAACTACCACCCCTCTCATAATCTCTCCCGAAAATCCCCCAAACCCACTAACGGCCGCTTCTCTCCCAGCTCTCTCATCATCTCTTCACCCTTCTCGTCCTCGTCTTCCCCGGCCGCCTCAATTAGTGCGGCAGGGAGAATTCCTGCGGTGTTCTTCTCGTGGTACCTGGGCATGGTGAAATCCCGTCCTCAACCCATCTCCCTCTTTCTCTCATTCTTCTTCGAGTCATCTGGGAAAATTGAAATCGAAATTGAATCCCTCGTTCCTGCCGCCTCGACCTCTACTTGTCTTCGTTCGTCTCCTCCCACCGCTGTGAAATGCCATAACCACCCACAGCCCCTCGCCTCCCATCTGGGTTGGGGTTTCTGATTTCGTTGTGGTTTTGAGATCTGGGTTGGGTTTCGGAGATGGAATTTGGGATGGATTTTTGGATATGATATTTGATATTGGTTTGTTCTTGTTTGTTGCAGGTGACGGCGTCAGAGGCGGCCAGGAGGAGGATGTGTTGTCGGCGGCGGAGGTGAGGATGAAGATGAGTTTGGGTTTTGGGATTTTTTCTGGATTTGGGTTTGGAAGTTTGTAGTTCAAGAGGGCAGCGAGCAGAGGAGAGAAGACAAAGAAGCAGCGAAAAGTTATTTATTTTGTATTTTTATATTTAATTTTTTGCATTTTGTAATTTTCTTTTTGTTAGTTTATTTATTTTTATAATAAAATAAATAAATAATAAATAATAATATTCCACGTCGGATGCCACATCAGCGGTGACTAGATTTTCAGTTAAAAACTAACGGTCAACGCCAGTCAACTCTAACGGACAAATAGTTTAGGACACAAATGTCATATCGAATACTTTATGACACAAATGACACAAAGTTAATAGTTCGGGTTTTCTAGTGGTATTAGCCCTTTTTTTTTTGTAAATGCACCTTTGTCGAATACCAAGATTATTGGGTCGTCATCTACAGGAAAGGATGTCAGTATAGTTCTTATAAAGAAAGGCTGCTTCGATTTTCATATCTTCAATGGACTAAATAAGGAAAACAAACATGGTGGAGGCATACAAAAAAAGAGTGGAATTTTTTTTTTTAAATGTTGAAATTTGAACACTTTTGATATGAAGACTTTACATTTGCAAAGTTTTCCTAAACATTTTCGGTGATTTGAAAATTGAACAAGGTGTTATCATAATATTCTCTTATTAAGCTAAAAAAATGTTTGCTAACCTCAAAAGGTGAGGAAAGTAAAAAAACTAAAAATGAGGGTTCTTTGAAGGAACAGTTGAGAAGTTTGGGTATGTTGACTGTGAGAAACTCTCATCTCCCGCCCAAATTACTGCTTCCCTTCCCAGTTCCCGCCGCATTCCTTTTGTTATTCTTTTCCCCCAATTTACATCTTCTGAACCCTAAACCCGACGGTAGCTCGTTCCCGCCAGCCATTCCCCCCATTACTGGCCTCCCGCCGGCGCTCGCTTCTCTCTCCTCGACTCCGCTGTTCTCTTCTCATCACTCCAGTCTATTCCGCCCCTACGGCCGAGGTAAAAGACTCAAACTTTCGAGCTTGAATCAATGGGGGCACCGAGTGCTGTTCTTATTATTCTACATTTTGTTTGATTACTGGCCAGTAATGGGTGTGTTTAATCAGAGATTCCTTTGGCTTTCTTTAGTAAAGTATGTGCATTTGAATATGTAGGGTTGAGGTCAGCCATGGAGAGATACTTTCCTAGAAAGGAGAACACTACTCCGAAACCTTCTTCTCATGAAGCTACTGAACCAAGGCCAAGTAAGCGTACCAAATGCACGGAAACTCAAACCACACAACCTTATAAACCTTCCTCCGCCTGTAAGGAAATTGGGATCGATTTGAATTCCTTGAAAGCTTATCCGGGTTTACGACGAAAGATATCCCAAGAGTGTGAGGTTGCAATGGGTGATCAACCGGAGCCAGAGGAGAGCGACGATAGGATTGCCTTGGAGGCTGCAATTGAGTGCATCAAGTTTCTTATAAGCTATGGGTTGATACTTCATGGATATGGCAGATCAGAGTCTTCTAGCAATCAGGGTCATTATTATGACATTCTGAGCTTTCATGTTCGTGATCGAGACAATTTGTACACTGTCATGTGGGGTGAGAATGGTATGAGGCCGTGGGGTTATGTTCCGAAAATTCGTCAGCTGACCACTCCAGAGAAAGAAAGAGACATCGTTCGTGCAATGGCAGCTGAAATAACTGCAGATATAATTGGAGAACTTGGAGATGGCCTTTTTTCCATTTATGTGGATGAGGCTTGTGATGCATCAGGTAAGGAGCATCTGATTATTATTTTGCGGTATGTGGATGAAGATGGATACATTGAGGAGAGGTTTCTTGGTATTTCTCATCTTCCGGATACTAAAGCTTTGACACTTAAGACGGGGATTGAATCAATGCTTGGGAAGCATGGATTGAGCTTGTCAAGGATAAGGGCTCAGAGTTACAATGGAGCTAGCAACATAAAAGGAGAAGTCAATGAACTAAAAAATCTTATTTTAGCAGAGAATCCATCTGCATATTATGTTCACTGTTCTGCTCATCCACTTGAGTTGACAGTTGTTGCTATTGCTAGAAACCATGGTGATGTGAGCTGTTTCTTTACAACTGTCACTAGATTGATCAGTTTAGTGGAAGCATCTGATAAAGGAAACGACAGTGCTGGAGGCGGTCAATTTGCGAAAGTGGCAGAGGCTTTATTTCGTGCTGATCATAGGAATGGAAGGCAGTTGAATCGAGAAATTGGCCTCGAAAGGAATCACGATATACCTAGTCGGTCACTTTTTGAAACACTTCTTACTTTGGATGTGATGTTCTCTGATGTGATTGACGGCCTAGATATCATTCGACGCGAGGGGAATTCTGAAGCAAGAGGAGAAGCAATTGCAATGTTGATGTTGGTTCAGACTTTTGATTTTGCCTTCATCTTGAAAATGATGATTGAAGTGCTAGGGAAGGCAGATATTTTGTCAGGAGCGCTGCAAATGAAAGAGCAGCAAATTTTCAATGCCATGAGTCTTGCTCATGTGGCAAAGATTATATTTCAGCGATTGAGGCAGGAAGGATGGAAGCCTCTTCTCGATGAAGTACTTTCTTTTTGCAAGAAGCACTGTCTTCATATTCTTAATATGGATGATCCTTATGCTCCACTTGGAATGTCCAGACGAAATATTCAACAAGGAACAAATTTGCATCACTTTCAAGTTGAGTTGTTTTATACCGTTGTGGATATGCAATTGCAAGAGCTAAATAATCAGTTTGATGGGGTGAATACGGAATTGTTAAAGTGCATGGGCTGCTTAATTCCAGACAAGTCATTTAAAGACTTCAACAAACAAATGGTCATGAAGCTTGCTACATTTTATCCGAGTGAGTTCTCTGATGCTGATATCATACCTCTTGAGAATCAGTTGGATGCTTATATTCAAGATATTAAGCTCGATGAGAGATTTAGAGGATTGGAAGGAATTGAGGCGCTTTCACGGGGCATGGTGGCGACCGAGAAGCATATGATGTATCCGTTAGTTTACTTGCTTGTGAAACTAGCCCTGATTTTGCCAATTGCAGGGAGGACAAGTGTTGAACGAACTTCTACTCCTACAACAAAGTACATCAAGAAAGAGCTTAGAGATCGAATTGCCGATGACTCAATGAATGACTATCTGATAGCAGACATTGGGGGCGGTGTAGTTGAATGCTTTGATAATGAGGGTATTATAGAATACTTGCAGAACAATATCTCAAATTAGCTAAATGCTATTGTGTTAGATTTTATTGTAATATATCTTTCACAATTTATCTCATCTTGATGAAACCCATGTGTTTATTCTCGAGCCTAGTTCATGCTTACAGCTCCTCTGACTCTTGAGCAGCACATCATCTGCAAATAAAAGGAATACGATGATGTGGAAAATTAGTATGTCCCACTTAGAGATGATTCTGATACGAGTTCCATCGCTAGGACAGATTATGCTCTGGAAATTTGCAGCAGATGATCATTCTGACATCTGAACTTAATCTGAACTTAAGTGGTCAAAAGCCTTGTTTTTGTTTGATCACACTAATGTAAATGGACGTAGACTAGTGAAGTATGTCTCAGATGCGTGCAGGTATCATTAAGGAAAGTAGGTGACCTGCTGATCGTGCTTGAATGATTAAGGTCAGGCTAGCTGTTGTTCAATGGCTATATCATGATGTGTTTCATCAGACAAATTTGGAACCTCGTTGCATCAGAATTCAGACAGGGATGTAGTGTTATGGGAGGAATACTGATTAGGATTTATTTTACTTGATACTTGAGAATTGCCGTTCCCTATTGCCAGCTTACAGACATGATCGAATTTGCATTTATTCTGTCAAAAAGAAGATAAAGGGATCTGCAATGCGTAACACACAACTGGGTTCAGTGGGAAACCAGAAGGATCATCCATTGAGGCATCAGCTCTTCTATTTATGATGATAAAGAGGTAATTTCTGCGAATTTTGCTGATGCATTAGCTTGTACAAGTTTTTCATGTTACAACTACACGGTTGATTGCTACTCTCTGGTCACTGCATGATACAACTGAGTAACAATCTCCAGAGTCAGCAGCAAGCATTTGTTGTGACGGAACTCCCCTTCAAGTGAATGTTGCCTCTTTTACTGCTACTTTTGCAATAGTTAGACTACCTGGACGCTTTTATCAAACTGAACCGTTAGTTCAGTGAGAGATTCCTAGTGAAATCCGGGTGTGTATGTGATGTTAATGCTACCGATAAGTTCCTCGGTCTAGTTGGTGTTTTCTCTAGTTTGTACAAGACTTGGATTGGTTGGACAGAGAGAACGAGCATGGCTCAGCATCAGCAGAGTTCCCTTTAGGTTGAGTGCTCAAATCAAGACACAGCGAGTATGACCAACGCTGATTTCCAGGTATGTGGATGGGCAAGCTGGGCATTTGGGCTTTGTGGTAGCTACTGATAACTTCTTTGTCCTTCGATAAACATGGTCCCACTTAAAAGTTCTACAGCACATCAGTAAGGGCTGATGAACTCAAAATATAAAGGAAGAAACTATACTGAATCTGTTCTTGTTTTTGGTAGAATAAGGATGTACTTTGTTGTTTGTACCACATCGTTGGAGGAGACGTCTGGAAGCAAGCAAGACGAATATAAAACGCAACACCTTGCCACTGTTGAAGGCATACCTTTCTCGGCCTTTTGGCTAAGATCAAGTGTAGTATCTGTTCTTATCAGTTTAATATCTGATACGTGGGCCAATGGCCCACACGATATTAAATTTATTTTTCTAGGGGGAAAAGGCCCACTACTGGAGCTTGCTCCAGGGGCCTTCTCGCGCGTCGCCCATGCGTTGCACTATTGCACGGGCCTGGCTCACCCCACCAATTTTAGTTAAAGATTGGTACATTTGTTGGGCCTTTCGTTAGTTTGGGCTTGAAATACGGTGGAATTATTGCTTTGCTGTTGTAGACTGTGACTGTGAGGAAGCAGATCGAACTAAAACTTTATATGGAGGGAAAGTGGTAATCTCTATATTACAGATTTTAACAGATGGAATCTTTTCTCAAGAATATCAGTCATTCCTTTGCAAATCAATCTCCTACAAGCTAAAAACCACCATCTGATGAAATCTGGTATCGAAAAAGATTCCATCTTCACTTGCAATGGTGGATTGTTCTTCTCATTTCTGTTTGGAAGGTCCAGCAGGCTTCTCGCCGCTAGAAAAGCTAGTTCTTACTACTTGCTCTGCTAGAGAAGACAATTGGCTGGAATCGTGTTACTTTTTACTGTGGAAAAGAGGGCTTCGTGGTTTGGCATGAAAAACACCACACACATTTCAGGCATTGAAGTCCTGACGAAGCTTCTGCAGATTCTCCGATATCTCCGACAGAAGTTTCCCCTTCTCGCTTCCATTCTCTAGTCCTCCTCCTACTGTAACATCATCATCGTCGTCCTCGTCGTCATCATCTCTGAAGAAATCATCCTCTTCTTCCAATGCTCTTACCCTCGCTCGCAGATGAGATATCGCGTCCATTCTGCTCTCTTGCTCTGCCTTTCAGGAAAAAAAAAATCGAAATGCACATCAGAATCAAGAAGAACATAATGAATTCGTTGCGAAAATCAGACATCAAGGTAATAATAGCTACCTGTCTCGTCGTCCGACGATGTCACCTCGACATGCTTCAGCCTGCGCAGTCCGCCGAACTTGTTAGGCCTCACAGAACCTCCTCCATCCCCTGCATTCTCAACCTGACTCTTCCCTGAACTGTCCACTCCATTGATGATGTTGTTCCCGCCATAGCCATAGCTGTAGCTCGGGCTACCAGATTCCGACGCCTCCATCTCCTGATACTCCCCATCATCATCAACCTCATCCATCACAAACCCATCTTCCGCTATATCCCCGTACCGAATCCTGTACGCCTCGATCTCGTTCTCCAGGTACTTCACATGCCGATCCTTCTTCTTCAGGTCGTCCCTCAGCAGCTGGATCGCCTCCTCGTCGTACTCCGCCTGCTCCTCCATCATCCGCTGGTACTGCAGCGCCTCCATCTGCACCGCCGCCTTCTCCGCCTGCAGCCGGGTGATCATCGCCATGGCGTTGTTCGCCGCCACCGCCGACGCGTTCCGCTCCTCGTCCAGCTCCATGTACAGCTCCATCAGCGACTTCCGGTCCAGCCGGACCTGCCTCGAGTCCCCTCCGTCCGGCTCCGGCGGGGCGCTCTGATCTCCGCCGGTGCCGCAGCCTCCGCCTTCTTCGGCGGAGAATTCGGCGCTCGAAAACCTTTCGAGCGCCGATTCTTCGGGGGACACCGAATCGCCCACCGGGGAGTCGCGGTTGCTGAATCGGACAACGGGATGCCGAAGAATTTGTTCCCACGTATGAAGCTAGGCGTCCTCAGCTCCTCGCTTATCTCGTCCACCGTATTATTATTATTGTTCTCCGAGTCGAATCTCATCGGCGGTAGCTCGAGATGGCGGAGAGACGGCGGCGCTCGCGGAGACGGAGTTGGAGCTTGTGAGAATCCGGGGGTTTTCCCCTTTGGTTTCCCCCCGCCTTTCAATGGGCCTCCACAGCACGCGCATCGATGAACGGGATGGTGGGCCTGGGCCGCCGCCACGACGACGTCGTTCGGTTGTTTCGGGAGCTGAACCTCGCCGTCGTCGTCGAAGAAGAGCTCGATGTCCTTGTGGAGGATGCCGACGAGGGATTTGTAGGTGTCGGAGCCGGATTCTTTCCCCGTCGCGAAGGAGAGGAGGCAGCCTTCGCACATTCTCCTGATGTCGGAGAGCTTCTTGTGGACGTGGCAGTAGGCCAGGCTGGAGACCTTTTTCCGGTGGGAATCGCAGATGGAGTCGTTGTAGTAGAAGCTGTGAGATCTGCGGCGGAGGGCGTGGTCGATTCTGGTGCAGAACAGGCATGGCAGCCGGAGGTCGAAGAACTCGGCGTATTCGTTGGCGAAGAAGGACAGGAACCCGTCGGCGAAGAGGACCAGGATTAAGAACCATTCTAACACTGCGTAGATTATGAAGTGTGGGAACTTGCCCAGTTCCTGTTCAACGTAGGCTCTGAATGTTCTCTTCGTTGTTGCAACATTGGGGATCTTGGTTTCCATGGTTTCTTGCTTTCTAAAATTTGTTTGCCCTTCTGGGTTTTTCTCTCAGAGGGCGATGGTGGTGAGAGAGAAGATCATGATCATTACCAGAGCAAGATCATGACCTTTTTTCTCTCTTCTTTTTTTGTTTTCTATCTCTCTTTTGCTTTTTTTCTTCCTTCCCCTCTGTGTATGGTTGTGATAGAGGGGAAGAAGAGAGGAGGTGAAGAACTCAAAAGAGAGAAGGTGTGAGTTTATGGAAAATTAGTTTTTGGGGGTTTCAAAATTTGGGTGGTTTGTTTTGCACTTTGCTATTGTTAGGCAACAAACAAGCTTTCTAATGGAAGGAAGAGAGGGGGACTTGGATGATGAAGGTGGGTTATCTTATCTCTTTCCTTTCTTCCTAATGAATCTGAAAATAGAGCTCTGTAAATAGTCTCAGTTTCCATTTCTCAACAATAGAGCCCTGAAAATAGAGCTCTGTGAAATCTCATTCATAACTTAGAAATTAGAATAGCTACAACCTAGAGTTCCTCATTATAATAAGCTTTTCATTTCTGTTGGCAAGGGTGTAAGGCGTGCACCATGAGTCGCTAGACTTCGCGCTGTCTACCAGGAGTGTTAACTTGCTGGCGAAACATTTGCAGACATGTAAGGCGACATACATCCTTGCACCTGGAGAGAATCAATAACCAGTTCGGATCAGAAGTCGGGTCTATATATATCAAGACCATAAAAAGGACAATTGAGATAGACAGAGAATAGCAGTCACCTGCAGCAAACAAGTAGGTATCTCGACAAATCCCTGTAGAAGAAGATCAACTTTTTCCAGTGTGCTTTGTGGAACAGGGGTGATTATGTATAGCAATCCCTTTGATGTGTCGATTCCTCTCACTATGCCTGCTCAAGTGGAAGCAAAACATAACAAGACTTTCAGATTAGAGGTGCATTACAATCTTATGAATGAGTTCTTTCTTTTTGGTAACTCATAGTTCAATATGTTGTTGTCGTGAAATGAAGTCTCCAAAATGTGTTGAGACAAGGGAATAGGAATGTACCCAGACCGAGACACCATGGTAGAGTTCCTGCCTGCTCAGAACTATTTGCCAACCCGACAATAGTGGCATTCAAACTGTAGAAGACTTCTGATTGAGGTACCTAGCAGATGAGATAACATTTGAACCATTAGAAAAAAGCAGCCCAGAGTTTTCCCTAACATAGAAAAACCTATCCAAGTTTCAGATGATCTAGACCAACCTGGCAATACAGATGTCTTATCTTAATTGTTGATATGGGAACTTGGTAAGGAGGGTGAGAAGCAAGGGCATTAGCAAGTTCCTTGATTGTGGTAACATTCAGGGTACTAGGAAAGCACTGTCTGAAATAAGCCATCATTCTCAAGTCCCGCAAAAGATGTGCATCCTTTTTCACTAGGGCCCTGTCCACAACAAAATTTATGAAGTACTTAACAATAACACAATTTCAGAAAGCAGAGATGGGGAGGAAGTAACAAGCTAACACAAGCAAATGAAATTAAGAAATCATGGCAAGGTATCGTAACTAAAATGGATCAACAAACATGCTTTAGATATCCAAGAAAGGCCAAGGTTCCCATCATTTCACTGCATAAGAGTTCTCTTAATGAATATTTTAACTTAAAACCTCAGATTGCAGTACACTCTAGATATCTGCAAGCATATATATAAAAATTTACATCTTTCCAGAGCAAAACTACAAAGTTTTGCTGTGGGCGACTGACAGAATATGATAGTTTCGTGATCAACTTACGGTCTATTGATATAATTCTGATGAGCTGAACAGATCTCAATGAGATTAACCTCCTGGTCTGCATCTTCATCTAACCAAAATTTACCGGCCGGTAGATTCTTTTTTGTCGATGAAATATCTATCTTGACCACATGCGTGGGAGCAATATATTTCAACATGTCCACCAGTATATCATAACCAGCACCTGGAAAACAAGAAGTTCAGAGTTAGTCTACTTGAATATGAACCTAAACACAAAGAAGAACTGTCACAGTCGAAATGGAAATAGAAAATAAATATACAGAATGTGAGGACGCATACCCTTAACCCAACCCGGGGTGTTAACCACAAGAGGCAACCCTCTCTTTAGGGAACTCTCAGTACCAGTGCAGAGCTCCTTGCGATAGTAGTCACAGAGTGCATATATATACTTCAGGTAAGATGTAGGATCCCGCTTGGAAGAAGTATCGCCAAAGAAAAAGCATCTGAGAACAAAGAATAATACAGCAATCATATGTATCGCATTCCTCAATGCATCCCTGCCTGGTTAGTGGTTACTATGACAGACAGACAAACAGCTAACCTCTCAGGTGTCTTTAAGCAGGGAATCGTCAAATCTGATACCAAAACCAGAGGAGCAGAGAGAAGTTAAGACAGATCAGGGGAGAATCATATTGAGAAAGAAACTAAATGAACACATTTCATGGAAACCAAAGTACCTTCAGTTAGTTTGTCAACCACTGTCAAGGATAAGAAACCAGGAGTAGTAAACTCAGGCTGCCCGACATCGGTGTCCAAGTATCCCACTTTCTTATATCTGCAAAACCGTGTCAAAAGCAAAGTAAGGATCAACCGGAAATACTCAATTGATCTCCCCACTCCCTAAATAAAGCATTATAGTTAACCAAAAGGAACACAGGAATCACTTCAAAGCAAAAAGCACATTGTACTACCGAGCTATTCAAATAAGCTAGACTCAGCCCATCAAGGCACCAGCCATTAAGGTAAGACAACAGTTGAAACACAAAAATCTCTGCTGAACAATTAAACAAACACCTGGAGTGCAACCACCCAGTATTCCAGTTTTCGAGCAGAAGTTAAACAAGTTAATCAAAGCTTTCTGCAAGCAACCCATAGGAGAAAAGCGAAACCTAGACCCAAATACCTGCGGAGAAGAACGTTGAGGAGGTAACGCGAGAAGGTGGTTTTGCCGCAGTTTTTGGCGCCACAAATGAAGGCAATAGGAGGCGGACTGGTGTTGGAGTCGTATGCAATGGTGTCTGCGGCCGCCTCCCACTCGTCGGGTATGTATATGCTAGGCGACGACGATGGGTCTTCCGCCGCTGATAAGGAAGCCATTGCTCGCCGCAACGATCTCTGAGGGGCAAGTAGACAGCGCGCTTTTGGTGGTACTTCTGCTCTGCCGTGGGTTGTAAACGGAAGGACAAAAGGAGCGGCTTGGTTATAAGTGGTTTAGGTTTTAAACGTCTAAAACTTGCAGGTTGGGACTTGGGAGCGCCGTGGATTCCATTTTACAACTCATGCTGAACTCGCGTTCTAAACTAACCCGAAATGTAAATTCAGTGGCGGAGGCAGGATTTGAAACTACCCCTGTCCTTTTTTCGTATTATAAATATTTAAATATTTAATAAATATAATTAAATTAATAATATCTGAATAATTTATTTTCATATATAAAAATAACGACCTACAATCGGTATATTCATAAACAACCATGATGAATTTTCATATTCTTAAAGAAACATAAAATATACTCTTAAGTAAGTCCTTTCCAATGGATCCCACTACACAATCATTAGCAAACTGGCTGTGAATTCGATTTCAGAGTTCGTTCTTGATATAGCTCAAAGCTGAAAATATTTTATCTACACTTGCCGTCAAAACTAGTGGAATCTACGCTACCACTAGACTGTTTCAAGATTGCTGGGAAAATAATCGAATAGACATATGAAGAAAAGAGATATATTCCAATTGAGATTTGGTTTATAGTATAATAAATTAATTTAATGTCAATTTATGATCAAGTAATGAATTGTAATATAGTGACAAAATACGTTGTACTAGGTGTCGTGTTCCATCCTTAACAAACATAAACATATATGGAGTATTTTTGTTCCTCCCAAAATTTACCCCTGTCCCGTGACAAAGCCCAACTGGGCTGGCTCCGCCTATGTGTAAATTATGTGGGAGTTGGTGCTCAAGACTGCATTGTTATTTGTTGGCAGAAAATGTCCGATTCGAACATCAGTTTGGAGAGAGGTTAAGGTGATTACTTAGTTAGTATCAGCAATCACCGTGGTTATCAGTATAGTTAGTAAATATTTTGTTTAATACACGTATATGTACTCGTACATATTTTATCCGTTTAAAACTTTCATATCTGTTGTAAATTTCGACAGGCGGAAGTATAGACTTTGAAACAAGACAATATGAGATACAGTAGACAAAGTGGATATAAAATAGATATATATCACTATCTCTTTTATTTCTTTTGACAGAGCATATACATAGAGAATAATTCTATCTTCCTACTCATATTTTTCTGAATGAATTCTGAAATCAGAAATCTCAGCTATTTATAGAAAAGGAAAAGTTACTATGCAGATACTATGCAGGTCCTGTACAAACGTTTTGCGGGTGGAGGCGGCTTCAATGAACAGCCAGCCGCCCCCCCCCCCTTGCCAATAATTCTCAACACTCCCCCTTGGATGTTCATTGATCAAGAATATGTCTCGTTAAAACCTTGCTAGGAAAAACCCAGTGGGATAAAACCTAGTGAAGAAAAGGAGTACATAATTCTTGTAATACACTTTTGTATACTGCCTCATTAAAAACCTTACCAGGAAAACCCAGTGGGAAAAACCATGGTTAAGGGAAAAAGAGTGCAGTGCGTATTTTCTCCCCCTGATGACCCGATCAGACTAGATCCTTCAATCGTCGCATTCCGATATTAAGGACTAACTTCTCAAATGTTTTAGTGGGAAGTGCTTTGGTAAACAAATCTGCAAGATTTTCACTTGATCGGATTTGTTGAACATTTATTTCACCCTTCTTATGAAGTTCATGAGTGAAAAAGAACTTTGGTGAAATATGCTTTGTTCTATCTCCTTTAATATACCCTGCCGTAAGTTGAGCAATACATGCAGCATTATCTTCATGGATGATTGTAGGTATGATACTCTCCGTGGATAAACCACAACTTCCTTGGATATGGTTGATCATTGATCTAAGCCATATACATTCACGGCTTGCTTCATGTATTGCTAGAATTTCTGCGTGATTAGAAGATGTGGCTACTAAATTTTGTTTCTTGGATCGCCATGAAATTGCTGTATCACCACACGTGAATAAATAGCCTGTCTGAGAACGACCATTATGAGGATCAGAAAGATAACCTGCATCTGCATATCCTACTAGATCCTTCGCGGATACATTCGAATAAAATAAACCCATATCCATTGTTCCCCTAAGGTAACGAAAAATATGCTTGATTCCATTCCAATGCCTTCGAGTTGGAGCAGAACTATATCTGGCTAATAAATTTACAGCAAATGATATATCAGGTCGTGTATGATTAGCAAGATACATAAGTGCTCCGATGGCACTAAGATATGGTACTTCTGGACCAAGTAATTTTTCTGATCCTTCTCGCGGTCTAAATGGGTCCTTCCTTACGTTTAGTGATCTTACAACCATCGGTGTGCTCAATGGATGTGATTTATCCATGTAAAACCGTTTTAGCACCTTCGAGACATATCTTTCTTGATGGACAAGAATTCCATCTTTCATATGCTCAATTTGTAATCCAAGACAAAATCTCGTTTTGCCTAAATCTTTCATTTCAAATTCCTTCTTCAAGCAACTTACTGCTTTCGATAGATCTTCTGGAGTGCCAACAATATTTATATCATCCACATAGACAGAAATGATAACATACCCATTGTTGGACTTTTTCAGGAAAACACATGGGCAAATTAAATCATTTTTGTATCCTTGTTTCAACAGATACTCACTTAGACGATTGTACCACATTCGTCCAGATTGCTTTAATCCGTACAAGGATTTATTCAATTTGATTGAATAATTTTCTTGAGAACTTGATGTCTTTGCTTCTGGAATATTGAATCCCTCAGAGATTTTCATATAGATGTCATTGTCAAGTTCTCCATATAAATATGCTGTAACAACATCCATTAGACGTAGATTTAGTTTTTCTCGTACTGCCAGGCTAATCAAATACCGAAAAGTAGTTGCATCCACCACAGGGGAATATGTTTCCTCATAATCAATGCCAGGTCTTTGCGAAAAACCTTGTGCTACCAGACGTGCTTTGTATCTCACAATTTCACCCTTTTCATTACGTTTTCGCACAAATACCCATTTATATCCCACTGGCTTCACATCTTTTGGTGTATGTACAACAGGTCCAAAAACCTCTCGTTTTGAGAGTGAATTCAATTCTGTCTCTATTGCATCTTTCCACTTTGGCCAATCATCTCTTTTCTTACATTCATCTATAGACCGCGGTTCATGATCCTCATTATCATTTATTATGTCTAGCGCTACATTATATACAAAACAATCATCAACGTTGACTTTACCTCGGTTCCATTGTATCCCATCCAAGACATAATTTATTGAGATCTCCTTATTCTCATTATCATCAGGTACCTGATGTTCCTTTGGAACAGATATAATCATGCTTGGAGGTTCTTTTAGGATAATTGCTTCCTCGTTTGGACCATCTTGATTCTTAGCTCCTTTCTTTATTCGAGGATTTTTATCCTTGGAACCGATAGGCCTACCACGCTTCATGCGAGGTTTAGACTCGTTTGCATTATCGGGTTGTTTAACCAAGACATCAACCCTTGCTGGAGCATTAGCAGCTGGTATATGTGATTTTGTCACCTTTTTTAGATCTGTAAATGCGTCTGGCAGTTGGTTAGCTAAACGTTGCAAATGAATTATCCTTTGAACTTCTAGTTCACTTTCTTTGGTTCGAGGATCAAGATGAGACAATGATAATTCATTCCAACTGATATCTTTAACCAGCTGCTTCTTTTCCCCCTAGAATTGGATATGTTGACTCATCAAAATGACAATCAGCAAATCTGGCAGTAAATAGATCTCCTGTCATTGGTTCCAAGTATTTAATTATAGATGGAGATTCATAACCAATATATATCCCCAACCTCCTTTGAGGACCCATCTTTGTACGCTGTGGTGGAGCGATTGGAACATATACCGCACTTCCAAAAATTCTCAAATGAGAAATATTAGGTGTTTGGCCAGAAACCAATTGTATAGGGGAGTACTTATGATAGCTTGTTGGCCTGATGCGAATTATGTGTTGCCGCATGTAGAATAGCATGCCCCCAACATGAAATTGGTAGTTTTGTTCTCATAAGTAATGGTCTTGCAATCATTTGTAAACGCTTGATGAATGATTCTGCAAGTCCATTCTGTGTGTGAACATGAGCTACAGGATGTTCAACATCAATTCCCATTGACATGCAGTAGTCATTGAAAGTTTGAGAAGTAAATTCACCAGCATTATCAAGACGAATTTTCTTGATTGGATAATCAGGAAAATGTGCTCGCAAGCGAATTAGTTGAGTTAGTAGCCTTGCAAATGCCAAGTTACGAGTGGATAATAACGACACATGTGACCATCTAGTTGATGCATCAATTAGGACCATAAAGTACCTAAATGGTCCACATGGTGGGTGAATTGGTCCACAAATATCACCTTGTATACGTTCTAAGAATCCAAGAGACTCATTTCTTACTTTCACTGGTGATGGTCTAATAATTAACTTTCCTTGAGAACAAGCAGCACAAAATGAGAGTTTAGGTTGGGGCATTTGCCTGCTTTTCATTGAATGCCCACAAGAGCTCTCAATTATTTTTCGCATCATATATGATCCGGGATGGCCCAACCGGTCATGCCAAATTATAAACTCATCGTAATTTGTACCTTTTTGGTTCACAATTGCGTTCATTTCGATCATGCTGATATGCGTGTAGTATAAACCTTGAGATAACTCAGGTAGCTTTTCTAAAGTGTGCTTCTTTCCTGAGCACTCTCTTGTGATGGAAATATATTCTATATTTCCTTCACTCATTGTCTCAACATGATACCCATTCTGGCGGATATCTTTAAAGCTCAACAAATTGCGATGAGATTTGCTAGAATATAGACCTTCTTTAATATGTAACTTTGTGCCCCCAGGTAATACCATATCAGCTTTTCCGGAACCTTCAATCAATTTTGTACTACCTGAGATTGTACGAACATTGGCTTCTTGAAATACCAAACTCGAAAAATACTTTCTATCCTTGAGTATTGTATGAGTTGATGCACTATCAACGAGACATACATCTTTGTCACTAGCATTGGCTTCAATGGCGGTAGTGTTCATTCTTCATCAAATATAAAAGAAGTTATTTAGAAGAATGAGGCCGAAAACATAATAAAAGAATATTATTATTTCAAAGTACAAACCATTTATTTTCCAAACCATTACTACATAACATCAAACTATTTGATTAATACTACATTTATTTATGAGACACACACAAAGTTATTTTACAATCCATTTATTTTACACACACAACTTATTATCAAATATGATAAAACATAAGTTCATATTGCTCCACTTCCGCATTCACCATTTCCATCACCAAAGAAATCAGCCATATCAAGATAGGTAGGATCAACCTGGCTATTATAGCCATGTCCAACATCATTTTCAGGACAAACAAAATTTGTCTCAACCTTCTTCTCCTTTCCTTTAAGGGATTCCTGATAAAGATCAACCAAGTGTCTTTGGGTACGACATGCACGAGCCCAATGACCCTTTCCACCACAACGGTGACACAAATTCTCCACTTGTTTGCTACCTTGCCCTGTTTGTTCTTTCCCAAATTTCCCATCATTTTTCCACTGATTAGGAAGAATTGCATTTCTAAAATTTCCACCATTTTTGGGATTACTTCCACGTCTATATACATTTCCACGGCCACGATTACGACCACGTCCACGCCCACGATTATAGCCACGACCTCGGTTATGACCATAAAATTGTTCATGATTATATTGTGTCGCATTCGCTTCAGGGAATGCAACAGTGCCAGCTGGACGTGCTGCATGATTCATCATTAACAGCTCATTATTCTGCTCAGCTACAAGTAGACAAGATATGAGCTCAGAATATCTCGTGAATCCCCTTTCACGGTACTGCTGTTGTAGGATAAGATTCGTGGCATGGAATGTGGAAAATGTTTTTTCCAACATATCTGCATCAGTTATTGGATATCCACATAATGCCATTTTTGAGGTAATTCTGAACATTGCAGAATTATATTCAGTTATGGATTTGTAATCCAGCAAACGCAAGTTGTGCCATTCATCTCGAGCACGTGGGAGGATTACAGTTGTCAGGTGATCAAACCTGTCCTTCAATCCATTCCATAAAAGAAGTGGATCTCTTATTGTGAGATATTCCCTCGTGGAGGTGGTGACGGAGGAAAATCATTGCTGTTGCCTTTTGCTGATTAGATGTTTGATTATCAGCCATAATTGTCTCACCGAGATTTTGTGCATCCAAATGAATCTGAGCATCCAATACCATGAAAGATAATTTTTCCGGTAATATCAAGAGCCGTAAATTCAAGCTTTGACAGATTCGACATGTCACTGATACCATAAACAAGAAAACAAATTAATACAATTATTTAATAATATGTCATGGGCTCCATAAATAGTATATGCATAGTAATTTACTATTTAATGAAAGTGACCCAAAACCAATTTTCGTTTGTTTTAACTGTGCATAATGGAAAAAGATTAAGGCTCTGTTTGTTTGAGCATTTTATAGAAAAGAGGGTATGCGTACCTGATGATGAAAATATCTACCTCAAAAATACTTTCTGACTTGCCGGACCTTGAGTAGGTAGAGCGCTCGTGCTGATAACGTGTTGTAAATTTCGACAGGCGGAAGTATAGACTTTGAAACAAGACAATATGAGATACAGTAGACAAAGTGGATATAAAATAGATATATATCACTATCTCTTTTATTTCTTTTGACAGAGCATATACATAGAGAATAATTCTATCTTCCTACTCATATTTTTCTGAATGAATTCTGAAATCAGAAATCTCAGCTATTTATAGAAAAGGAAAAGTTACTATGCAGATACTATGCAGGTCCTGTACAAACGTTTTGCGGGTGGAGGCGGCTTCAATGAACAGCCAGCCGCCCCCCCTTGCCAATAATTCTCAACAGTATCCGTATTATTGTCAAACCGTTTGATTTTTTCTCGTTCATTTGATGGCTCCCGTACTAAACACGTATAATACTCGTATACACGTTTAATATCCGTATTTAATGAATTAAATTGTTAACTTTACAATTATTTATTTATTTATTTTTAAAATAATTTATTTAATATTGTTGAGGGTGTAAATATGTCATAGCCCAGCCTAATAGTAAATATGGTCTGCAAGGCACATATGGACCCAAGCCCACAAAGACCACAAGGCCCAACTGAAGCCCAACAAAACATCAAAATGTTTTACCTATAAATATGCTCCTAGGTCTTTCAAGTAAGGGACCTCTTCTTCTCCTCTACTCATTTTGACATATCATTTATCTCTCTACAATTTCTCTCTACCTAAGATCTCCTTATTTCTCTATCATTGTACTAATGTTGATCGTCGGAGTGTAGATAATGGGGGCCATCCCCGCCCTTTCACAAACCCGGCGCCCTTCTTGTTTCTTGGCAGAAACAATTGGCGCGTCAGGAAGGGGAAAAGATAGTAGGCGCCCATAATTTTGGAAAAAAGATAGTGGGCGCCCATAATACCTAAAGCGCCCGAAATACTTGAAATGTCTCCAAGAGAGGTGTAAAGGCGCCCATAATACCTAAAGCGCCCGAAATACTTGAAAGGTCTCCAAGTGAGATGCAAAGCGCCCATAATACCTAAAGCGCCCGAAATGCTTGAAATGTCTCCAAGGGAGATGCAAAGCACCCGAAATATTTGAAAGGTCTCCAAGAGAGATGTAAAGCGCCCATAATACCTAAAGCGCCCGAAATACTTGAAAGGTCTCCAAGAGAGGTGTAAAGGCGCCCATAATCCCTAAAGCGCCCGAAATACTTGAAAGGTCTCCAAGCGAGATGTAAGGCGCCCATAATACCTAAAGCGCCCGAAATACTTGAAAGGTCTCCATGAGGTGTAAAGGCGCCCATAATACCTAAAGCGCCTGAAATACTTGAAAGGTCTCCAAGGGAGATGCAAAGCACCCGAAATACTTGAAAGGTCTCTAAGCGAGATGCAAGCCGCCCATAATACCTAAAGCGCCCGAAATACTTGAAAGGTCTCCGCGAGAGGTGTAAAGGCGCCCATAATACCTAAAGCGCCCGAAATACTTGAAAGGTCTCCAAGGGAGATGCAAAGCACCCGAAACACTTGAAAGGTCTCCAAGTGAGATGCAAAGCGCCCATAATACCTAAAGCGCCCGAAATACTTGAAAGGTCTCCAAGCGAGATGCAAGGCGCCCATAATACCTAAAGCGCCCAAAATATTTGAAAGGTCTCCAAGAGAGGTGTAAAGGCGCCATAATACCTAAAGCGCCCGAAATACTTGAAAGGTCTCCAAGCGAGATGCAAGGCGCCCATAATACCTAAAGCGCCCGAAATACTTGAAAGGTCTCCAAGGGAGATGCAAAGCACCCGAAATACTTGAAAGGTCTCCAAGTGAGATGCAAAGCGCCCATAATACCTAAAGCGCCCGAAATACTTGAAAGGTCTCCAAGGGAGATGCAAAGCACCCGAAATACTTGAAAGGTCTTCAAGCGAGATGCAAAGCGCCCATAATACCTAAAGCGCCCGAAATACTTGAAAGGTCTCCAAGGGAGATGCAAAGCACCCGAAATACGTGAAAGGTCTCCAAGGGGTATTTAAAGCGCACATAATACCCAAAGCACCCGAAGTACTTAAAGCGCCCATGATACTTGCAAGTTCTCTATGGGAATGTAAGGTGTTCATAGTACCCAATAGGGGTTCAAGGGAGAAGCGAGGCGCCCGCAACACCAAAGTCAATAAAGACGTTATAATAGAGGCGCATAAAGGAAGCACTTCGAGGTTAAGGCGCTTCCTTTCTAGCCTCCAATAATACATCTCAAGGAATAAGCTAAGTGTTTTCTGTCTCTACTCGAGTTATATTCCTAGTTATTGTATGAACCAATTTTTTTGCATTCTTTAGTATATTTGTGATCATTATTCTGTGTAATTGATATGGTAATGGGGGACATAAATTGGGGGACAAAACACCAAATGATCTTAGGTAAAACTTGACAAGTCAGAGGATTTTAGTTAGTCGTCCAGTGCATCACTAGGCGCCTAACTGGGGGACAGTTGGGGTAACATGTGCATGCGCATTCAGGATTTTTTCTAAGGCAAACAAATCTTTAATTATGTGCCGAAAAATGTCATAGCCTTGTTAGGCATCATATGTGCAATAAATAGTTTTATCTCATTGCTTGAGTTATATCCCTAACCGTGTTATGAGTCGCATTATGTTACATTGTTCTTTCTCTCCATGGTTCTTGCTCCGGGGTCTTAAGCTATTATGATCATGGGGGACATGGATCAACTAGCAGAGTAAAAAGAGGCACATGCACGTCATATGCCAGATGTAGAGGCTAAACAAGTTTGACAACATGAAGACTTCCAGTTAGGCATCCAGTGTACCACTTAATACCTAACTGGGGGACAATTGTTGGGAGTGTAAATATGGCATAGCCCAGCCTAATAGTAAATATGGTCTGAAAGACACATATGGACCCAAGCCCACAAAGCACCACAAGGCCCAACTGAAGCCCAACAAAATATCAAAAGGTTTTACCTATAAATATGCTCCTAGGTCTTTCAAGTAAGGGACCTCTTCTTCTCCTCTACTCATTTTGACATATCATTTATCTCTCTACAATCTCTCTCTAACTAAGATCTCCTTATTTCTCTATCATTGTACTAATGTTGATCGTCGGAATGTAGATAATGGGGGCCATCCCCGCCCTTTCACAAACCCGGCTCCCTTCTTGTTTCTTGGCAGAAACAAATATATTTACGACTATTAATGTACTATTGAACGTAACATTAGCTCAGAAATGCAGTAAAATATCCGTACGTATTGTATACGTAACTTTCCCGAACAGTATTTTACTAACTATTACCACGGATAGAAATGGTATTTTGTTTTCCTTATAATCATAAATATCGTGTTAATTACGTGGATGATTGGGGAGAGATAATTATGAAAAGTGATTATTAAACAATTAAACTACCATATTCTACCCAAACCTTGCTTCTGTACGACAACCAATATCATTTCATAAAACTCGAAAAGTACTATTGC